TTTTTCTCCTTAGTCTCAAGGAGATATATTGTTTCATATAATTTCTAGGCCATTGACTGTAATAAGGTTGATGGCAATGATGAAGTCATAACAAAATAAGTCACAAATAAATAAGCATTGTGACAAAGAGGAACACTTCGGCACAGAGCAAATTTGATCACACAGAATTCTGTTGCTTCTTCACATATGGGAATCAGCATTAGGAAACTGCATCAATTCTTGCAAACACTGCTGTGCTGAAGGAAGAGAGTGTATCTCCCCTTCTGTTTTTATAAGGTACATATGCAAACCTTCTTGCTTGTCTAATATTTGAACTAAAATAGTAAATACATGAACAATAGTAAACATTATAGTGAAGTAGAGAATGCTTTTAACAGTCACAATGACCTCCAATTTTATGACTTGAATAAACTTGAACAGAGCATAAGTAAGGGAATTTCAAGAGGCCTAATAATGCAGTAGGTATCTTGCTCATTGGAATTTTTATTATTATGCCACTGATTAAATACATGGTGAACAAAATAGATTTACGGAAAGTAAATAGCCGGAGGCAGCAATAAAGAAGCAGAATAGCATCAGATCGTTTCTCTGATACATGGCATAGTATTTTGACAGATGAGAAAGTGAAGCGGGGTTTTTTCCCCCCAGTGATCTTTAAACCAGAACCCAACAGAAATCAGTGGAATTTGGCCTGCAGTTAAACGGATGAAGGGCTCCAAGATTCAACAAAGGAAAATAAATGTTCCACTTTCATATTAAAGCTACTATCCTAAACATATTGATTTGGCAGTAAATTTAATTAAAACCAATGGAGCTTATGTCTGAGTACATGGGAGGGCAGTGATGGGTAAGCATTTGAAAGAAAGCATTTCCTTACATCCCCCAACTGGGATATTTATGAAGTTTATTTTATCTATTTTCATATTATATCATACAATTGTCATTTTTTATTATTCAGTGAACCAGGAAAATTTCAACATCTATTCACTGTCATTATTTTATTGTATTTATTAACTGCATTTATATGATGCACGGTCCTCATTTAGACAGTTCCAACCATTAGTGCACTGTCATTGCAATTTATATCTTCCAATATCAACTTTAACCAACTGGTCTATTTTTTCCCCAGTGAAGGGGTCTTGGGAATAATATTTATTGGCCAGTGTTTGTGACTCAACGTTTTATTAGAAAGCCCTGCTGTCAAATGATTTTTCTGCTTTCCTCAAAGCCCCCGAAAGAAAGGTAGGTCAGACACACAACATTATTTTACTTCTGGGTTTCCCTTTGTTGCTACAACTTCTCAGATGGGTACATTATATACCGTATTTTTTGCTCTATGAGACTCTCTTTTTCCCTCCTAAAAAGGAAAAATGTGTGTGCGTCTTATGGAGCGAATGCAGGCTGCGCAGCAATCCCTCTTGCTGTTCTGGCTTCTGAGATTCAGAATATTTTTTTTCTTCTTTTCCTCCTCCAAAAACTAGGTGCGTCTTGTGGTCTGGTGCGTCTTACAGAGCGAAAAATACGGTATATCTAATGTGAGAATTTGTAACAAAAGGACATACATTAATTCTCTGAGCCTTTGTAATTTCACTCCCAAGTCCCCCATCTCAGATCTGGGGGGGGGGGAATAACTACCTACAATTAATACAAGAGTAAAAAGCTGCAACATCTGGAATACAGATGCTTTTTATAGACATTATTATTTGAATGCTCTTTACCAAAGACCTTGTGGTCACAATCTTCTTACCATTTCCTCTACAATGATAGTAAGACTACTGTAACTCTAGAATAAGCATTTTGAGAATGGCACTATTGCCACTATCTAAAAGCAAGTTGCTGAGTCAACCTTATGATTTATCCTAATTTCATGGCAAATTGCTTTGGCCCTTTGGTAACCTAATAACTTAAAACAAATAAACTAGGGGCTTCTGTTCAGAAAGCTTCTGGGCATCCATTTGCAAAAATGTGCTGATGACTTTGTTCTTCATAGCGATTTTACAGATAGAATCAGCGTGTTTATGGGTTAATCCAGACTTAGTACACCTGTAGAAATCAAGGGGACTGAAGTTAGTTACTGTGTGTTTTCCTCTTGATAAAACTAGCTGCTTGTTTAAACATTACTGGGTTACACCAATATGCTGGTTTGCTTATTCTGCATTGGCTGTCTCAAGTAAGGATGGTTGAAGTACTTTGGAATGAAAATTCATGGGCTGCGGTTGTCCCCCTGAGGCCCATCCAACAAACCTATGTGTGAGCATGGAGAGAAATTTACACAGTGACGAAAGACCCTTTGAATTTTCTGCTGCAGTTCCTTGCCCTGGTGCTGAAGGGGCAAGCTATTCTTCGATTTCTATCACAAAATGAAATCCATTTATAAATACACACTAAGTCTGGGGCAGGATTTCTAAAACTGAAAGTGGTAGGCTGCGGCGTGCTTTTTGGTGAATCTGGAGGCCATGATGAAAATAGAGAATAAATACCACAGTAAAAAATAATATATAACTTTTATTAAAGCCATTAATTTAAATACTGCTGCAAGCCACCGCAGGGGTTCCAGGTGCTTACCCAGGGTTCATGTTTACTTTTGGGGATAAGGCACAGCAGAGACTGTGGCGTCTTTACGATATATGGTTTATTTGCATATATATGGAGGCGTTCACAGCATTAACATCCCAAAAGGGTCTTACTACTTCCATATCAACAGTTTGGGATTCCAGCAGAGGTCTAGTCTCTCTCTCTCTCTCTCTCTCTCTCTCTCTCCTTGCTGCTTTGCTTCTAGGTTACACTGCTGCTTCCCCCTCCACACTAAACTCTGGCTTTTTTCATCCTCACTATCTGCAAGTTGTATGCATAATTTCATGTCTAATGAGACTCTGCTATGAGCAACTGGTCTAGTTGAGACCTTTGGGTATAGGGCGGTGTATAAACTGAAAATAATAATAATAATAATAATAATAGTTCTAAAATAAGTTTGCCTAGGATTGTAGTCTAAAGCACGTACTTTTTTCTCCAGCTGAAATCAAAAGGACTTAAAGGTAAAGGTACCCCTGCCCGTACGGGCCAGTCTTGACAGACTCTAGGGTTGTGCGCTCATCTCACTCTAGAGGCCGGGAGCCGGTGCTGTCTGCAGACACTTCCGGGTCACGTGGCCAGCATGACGAAGCTGCTCTGGTGAGCCAGAGCCGCACACACGGAAACGCCGTTTACCCTCCCGCTAGTAAGCGGTCCCTATTTATCTACTTGCACTTAGGGGTGCTTTCGAACTGCTAGGTTGGCAGGCGCTGGGACCGAGCAACGGGAGCGCACCCCGCCGCGGGGATTCGAACCGCCGACCATGCGATCGGCAAGTCCTAGGCACTGAGGTTTTACCCACAGCGCCACCCGCGTCCCTATCAAAAGGACTTAGACATGCCTAAATTTAGCTGGATTGCACTCAATAGCTCTATTACCAAGAAAATCTGAACACTGAAGGCAAGCATTAATAGTGCAATTTCACTATTCCAGCTTCTGTTAAGAGTTTCTCTTCATTCATGTCCATTTAATAAATTATCACTGCAATCCCATCCTCCTCTAGGGGGTCCCAGGATTAAGCCACAAAACTCTCAGCAATGTGTCAGTCACGTGACTCATGCACTGCACAGATTAATTTGTGACTTTCCCTGGAGCTGGGAAATGGTTGTTAACTGCTGTCTGGGTTATCCAGTTCTGGAGAATTGTTTCCTTCATGCAGTCCGATTTCCCAATAAAAGGTCTCTTTCTCTTTTATAGGTCTTTTAAAATGTCTTTCCTGCAAAATGCAGCAGATGCCATTTACATGTGCACAGGAGATGTTTCTTGTTTAAATAATGTTTCAAAGAGCTTTAAATGGCTCTTTGGATATGATGCAGGGCCACCAGGGACACAAGGTTTGGTCTTGCACACTGGCATTTCTGGTGGGTGCCGGAACCCACCATGAACACCTCCCTTGTTCTCTTATAATGGCAATGACACCCACCTGAATGGTGCTGGACCTGAGTTTTGGCTGAAAAAAAGTCCTGGACATTTCACACATTGTAGTTTGCTAAACTTTCTGCTATTAAGTATTATTAATAATTACATTAAATATTGTAGGATTTCTATCTGTAAAATGAGTAAATGTGTTCTAAGTAATAATAATAATAATAATAATAATAATAATAATAATTTATTATTACGGTCAAAGACCAGCTTGTATTAAAATATTATTAAAATAGAAATTACATAGAAGAGGGGCCAATAGGCACCCTTGCCTGACTCCCTTAAAAGTTTTAATGGGGTCTGTTAGGTGTCCTGGGAGGCTACACCTGACTCTAAGAGCCGTATTTGCATGAACTGCCTGGATTAAAAACAGGAGCCTTCTGTCTACGGTGGTACCCTGAAGTCTATCCCAGAGTCTAGTTCTGGGGACTGTGTCAAAGGCTGCTTTTAGATCTACGAAGGCAGCGCAGAGTGAGACCTGCCCTCCTGATTTATATTTTTCTATGAGGTGTTGTAGCATTAGGCAGTGATCTGTCGTGGACCTTCCGGGTGTAAAGCCCACTTGTTCTATTGCCAGAATGTCTTCATTTTCTAACAATTCAGTAAACTTTTTAAGTAGGTGCTTTGTGTAAAGTTTACTAATCACACTTAGTAAGCTAATCAGCCTATAGTTTGATGTGTCCCCTCTATTGCCCTTTTTATAGAATGGAACTATTATGGCTGTTCCCCATTCCCTTGGGATGTAACCAGTCTCCTCTATGCGGGTAAAGAGAGGCTAAGAAAGGCGCCCACAAACCCAACTGTGATTTTAGCATTTCTGGCATAATGCCATCTGGGCTGGGGGCTTTGGTGTTCTAAGCACTTCATTCCTGAGTAATATGCTGCCTATATATGCTTTATACATATAAGCTGCAGCTAGGTACACCTTTTTGGATTATTCACTTCTGGAGTCATGACAAAATAAACATGATCTATGTTGGTCAGGTATCATGTATGTGTTTATTGCTATTTTTAGATAGATTAGGTGGTTTCTATAGGCTGCACCCCTTTACTTATGGGCTTTGCCTCCTGGTGCATTACCTCTGCTCTTTCTGGGATTCTGTCCTTTGGCACAGGATTGTACCCATATGCAGCTTTATTTATCACATTTATAGCCTGCCCTTCACCAAGTCATCCCAGGATAGGTTTCAAAAACATCAGAAAAACAAATACAGGTCGCATTAAAAAAATCTCATTTTATATTAAGGTAAAACAAGAACATAGCAAAGGCTTGCCAAATTTATTATTTATTTTGGCTCCAATCCAGCTAACATTTGTTGTGACTATTTCTTATTGAAATGCTTGAAAGTGACCAGGCTTGATTTAGTTGCAACAACTTACCTTGGTTGTAAGTCTATTGAACACAGTGGGCCGTACCACTAAGTAAACTTGCTTAGGACTGTGCTAAACCTTGTTGTATTGATATCAATGGGACTCAGTCCTTTCAGGTGGATTATGAGCTTTTCCTTTACAGCAAAGAGCCCTTGGAGAATAAAATTCATGAATAAAGCCTGAGAGGCTTGTAACACCCAGGAAAAGTTGAGCATCTCCATGTGAGAACAATAAGGCAGGAAAAACTGACAAAATAGTAACCCGGTGAGGAAAGCAAAACAGAACATACTGTTCTTTGATAGTACTCTATGTGCATTCTATGGATCTGGAGATCTTGGCACCTGGCGACTTCAAGAAATTTACAGTCTAGTGACATGTTGTACAGACAGGTAATCGGGGGAGCATGCTCATTTTTTTCCATTTGATACAATGCAAACGCTCCCAACTTTCTGATCTGACAAAATTCCCTTTAGCGGATAAGACCTTCATGAACTTTTTTTTTAGTGGTAGGGTGGAAAACTGCCATCTCACTCTGCAGAATTCTCTGCTTACAATATTACTTTTTAGATCCTCTATTTTCCATCCATCTGTTACAACTGCCCGGGAAACAAATGACTTTAAGCAGATTTGTGGTGCTGTGACATCAAGGAGAAAGAGGTAAATCTCCTGTGCAACGTAATAAGACATCTCACACACATGAAGGGGGACAGAGTAACTAAATCTCCTTCCACAGGGACTTTTCCCTTATACTAGTCTATAGCAGCTTCTCTCAACCTTGGGTTCCCAGATGTTACTGGACTACCACTCCCATCATTCCTGAGTGCTGCCCCTGCTGGCCATGGTTGATAGGAGTTGTAGGCCACCAACATCTGGAAACCCAAGGTTGAGAAAAGCTGGTCTTACAATATCACAGCTGGGAGTGTTGTTGAGGTTTTGTTTGATTTTTCTGCTTGATTTTTGCCTGCTGAAATGGAAAGGTCTTTGCTGAGTGCCTGAAGTTCAACAGGGATGATTGTAATGCTGCCATATCATTTGCAGGGCTGCTATTACAGAGATGATGTGTATGTGGTCCTCTTTGGAAGCTCTAAGGCACTATATAAACATTAAGTATTATTAAAATTACATAATAAAACAGTAATAAACTATCTATAAAAGCATAATTATCTCATCCTTAAACCCTCTTCTAAGCTAGAAAACTATAGCAGTAAGAACTAACTAACTTGCTGATAGACGACTATTCCTCCCTCCCTTTATTGTCTTTTATTAACTCTTCTGTCGATGGTATTTGCATCCGCCAGGATATCAGGAATCCTTCTGGAGAGATTCCTTAACATGAAGCCTGACTCTAATCTTCTGTTAGACTCCATTAACTTGCTCCTACCCACCATACTTCCTTTACATATTCATACTTGTACAAACAGTGACCCGAGTCTTTGTTCTTTTTACTGATGTGTGCTTTATTTTCACAATCTCTTGCTCATTCACCTTTAAAACTGATTTTTTATATATAATAAAAAACTAAATAATGCAGGGAACATCCATGAATACACAAAAGACCTCCTGCAGCAAAAGTTCATTGTAATCACACAAGGAGTCCGGAAGAATTGCCCAGTGTGGGGATATGGCTGGACACACATCCCTGAAGCCCCACTCTATTTTGATGACAAAGTCTGAAGAGGGCTCTCAGATCTGGTATTCCAATCCCCAAGTCTCTAGACTCTCATGAAGGGCTGTTGACCATTCTAATGCCTTTTGTGGGAACTTCAGAGTGAGAAAATGTTGCTCTTCCTGGAGTCAGAAGCGCCTGAAGGTATTGGCACCATTAAAAAAAAAAACTACACAAAAAACCTGCTGTACCCTCTCAGGTTTCTCTGAATCTGACTGCATCAGGGTGCTGAGAAAAGTGAATTAAAACCTGTTATTAATTCTATCTAATGCTAATAGTGACCTCTGCTGTCTGTAACTATAACGACACCATTGTCTCATATTTCTGTCCTTATTCAAAATGTAAAAAACCGAAAAACAACTAGAGTTCCAGGCTCCCTTGGTACCTTCCAACCCAATATTCTTCCCATCCAGGCCCATATGCTGCCAAATCCCCCTACCTGTGTAAACCCTCTTCAAGCATTGTCACTAGAAGAGTAACCACAGGTAGAGCAGGGCTTCTGCTAGCCTTTTGCGTGATTAGTGAACTTCTGCAGTGAGGAGCTTTGTATATCCATGGTGATTCCCCATATAATTGAGAACAATGACATCTCAGGGTTTTCAATCATGCAAGGAGCATGACTTAAGCTTAGGGCTGGCCCAAGACCATTTGATGCCTGAAGCAAGATGTGCCACTGATGCTTTACTGCACCACAGATCACTGCTGAGGCTATTCCACACCCTTTAAGATAATTCAGATTCCGTCCTGGGACAATCTGTTATGTTATTTTTGCTGCAGTAACTATTGCCCATGTAATTTGTATAAGCAGCACCAACAGTTATAAAAATTAGCAATGCATAGTATCTGTGGAGTAATCATACTGTTACTTACAGTGGTACCTTGGTTCTCAAACTTAATCCGTTCCAGAGGTCCGTTCCAAAATCAAAGTGTTCCAAAACCAAGGCACACTTTCCCATAGAAAGTAATGCAAAATGGATTAATCCGTTCCAGACTTTCAAAAACAACCCCTAAAACAGAAACTTAACATGAATTTTACTATCTAACGAGACCTTTGATCCATAAAACGAAAACAATAATCAATGTACTACACTTTAAAATAAATAAAACAGTATTGTAGATCATAAGAATTAAAATTTTATTACCTGCACTGATGATATTGTTTGGATGCGGGGTTTTTTATCCATTTCTGCAGTCACACAATGATTGATCAGTAGCTGAACTGGGTTCCACACAATCACAAAAACAAATTAACTGGAAAAGCCTCTAAAACAAAAACGCAAAATAAATAGCAAAAACAAAAGCGCCAAACTTAATCTGTTCTGGAAGTCCATTTGACTTCTGAAATGTTCAAAAACCAAGGCGCAGCTTCTGATTGGTGCAGGGACCTGGAAACAATAGCTGACAGCCACATTGGACATTTGGCTTCTGAAAAAAGTTCAAAAACCAAACCACTTACTTCTGGGTTTTTGATGGCGTTTGAGAACCAAGGTACCACTGTACTTTCTAGAGAGGAAAGTGCAAGGAGCTGGGGAAAGTGCTTTTAAAAACATTTCACTCAGCATCCACAAGAGGGTTTCAGCTTGCTCCCAAAAGAAAAAAGACTAAAAAAAAATCCCTCCCCCCCCCCCACCCCCAGGTTTCAGAGGACTCATATCACTAGTGCCACCCTTTCACTGCTTGGCCATGCTCAACTCACATACCAAATATACTGTTTCTAAGAGTTGGCAACTCTATGGCATAATCAGGTTCTAGCTCATGACATCACTAAGCCCCACTCTGTGACATCACCAAGTCTAATCTCTTGCATTTTAAGACTTTGGGATGCTGGGAATCTGGGGACACTATATCCAGCTGACTTAAATACGCCAAATCTGTCACACAAGCAAGACAAGGCTTTTTGAGAGCCAGTGTGGTGTAGTGGTTAAGAGCGGTAGACTCATAATCTGGGGAACCGGGTTTGCGTCTCCGCTCCTCCACATGCAGCTGCTGAGAGACCTTGGGCCAGTCACACTTCTCTGAAGTCTCTCAGCCTCACTCACCTCACAGAGTGTTTGTTGTGGGGGAGGAAGGGAAAGGAGAATGTTAGCCGCTTTGAGATTCCTTAGGGTAGTGATAAAGCGGGATATCAAATCCAAACTCTTCTTCTTCTTCTTCTCTCTTTTACAAGAACAAAGGTGACTGCCATGAAGGTAACAAAACTACCATGGAATCTCCCTGCTGAGTACTGTGGGGAAAGCCTTTGTCTGTGTACTGCTCAAGGGATTAGTCACTTGCTGGGAGGGTCTATCCCAGGTCAAAATGCGGCTTTAGAACTCAGAGGTCAACCTCACCAGCCAAAAAAACCCTCTTTTTAATAATTTTTGTAATTGGTTTTTTCATAATTTTATACATTTTAACATAACCATTTTGAACATTAAAGTACATGGATTCTCAGGATTTTTGCATTGGGCTACCCCAAACTCACCGTCAAATCACATGCCTGTGGCCGCAGCATGAACCACAAAAATCATACATCCACTGTTTCGTCCAGATTATTTTTTTTTCTTGTTTTCCTCCTCTAAAAACTAGGTGCGTCTTATGGAGCGAACAATACGGTAAGTCACATCTGCAAGACCTTCCTAAGGAGTCATGACCGGTGACATCCTGCCCCAAGAGTGTTAGGCAGATAACCATCTCAGTCACAGTGCCTACCCGCCCAATAGTGGGACAAGACAAAGGGGTATGTTGGACTTAGGGACCAGGGAACTGCCAATGCCTTCCTTTGTACTGTGATGGAGTAAGTGTGAAAGGCTATACTTGAGTGACAGGGCCATGCCTGTATCTCAGGTTCTACCTGAGACCACACCTTTTTCTGTGACATCTCTATGAAGTTTTGATGATTCACCCTGTATTATGGGGAACTTTAGGGAGCTTTAAAATACGGATGTAACTGTTGTCTGGGGCTTCCAGCTGCTTCATCTTTGCGGCAGCAGGAATTCTTGTTGCAACAATAAAGATCAGGCCTGCAGGTCGTTGTCTTGCTTCTATCTCCTGGCAGAAGTCTCTTGCTTGTGACCCCCGACCTGAAGCTATGGGAGCCAAGGTTAGGTGATTGCAGGGTGCTCCAAGGACTCTCAACAGGATGCCCACCGAAGTGCCGCACGATGACCATGTCCTTCCACAGGAACATGGAATAGCAGAGTCCTGTATGATGGCTCGTCCATGGATGTCTTACCTTCTCCTTTCGGGCACCTACCCAAACCATAATGCCTTACTCAGAGGCCCTGGGCGGTGTTCTTTTGAGCGTACTGTACTTCCCAATTTCATATATCGAAAGTGAGGGAGCTATGCATGCCGCCCAGGGCCGGATTTAGATGAAGAGAGGCCCTAGGCTACTCCACTTGTGAAGCCCCTCCTAATCCCCCACCCTCATGACTAAAAGAAAGTGTTATAAAAAAAAATGAGTGAAGCCAAGGATGATGACGGGTATTTAAAATTCTGCAATTCACAATTTCATCAGAAAACTTAATCAAAATTTATTTGTCTAAGTTTGCCACTTTCAGTGTACAGAATGCTCAGTACAGAATGCTCTTGAGACATTGTGGCCCTTAATTCATTTTTAATTCTTTTGAGTCTTGAAAAACTCCTCTCTCCCAAGCAGTTAGTGACCATAAAGCTATAGCTGCAAGATTGCTTCCACATTAGGAAAGGCCATCTGAATTTTTTCCTTGTATATAATTTGATAAAGGTCTGTATGAGACAGAGAGTGCTCTGCTGTAAGCCTATAGCTTTGTGTCACGTACAGGTGAAAGTGCAAAAGTTCATCAATAAGTTTCAGGTCAATATCTTCTGAGTATGCTTCCATCAACAGTTCAACACCTTGCTGAATTTCTTGCTTAGATGCTATCAGGGTAGCAAAAATGGAAAGCAATTGTGCAACATCACTGTATATGATACTACTTCTTTTTAAATTGGCTTCAAGTGCATCTACTATAGGAATAAAGGCTTTTCTCCTAAACTCATCTCTTGAAGAAAGTGCATCTAAGGCATCAGATGCACTTGTCATTTCTTTGCCGTTTCCTCACTCTTTGCTTCCTTGTTTTGTAGTTAACATTTGGCAAGGTGGCTTTTGCTTCTTTCTCAAGCTCATCAAAATCTTCTCTAATTTTCCTTTAAAAATCCAGAAGTTTAACTGTGCAAACTTGCACAAGAACTCAGTAACAGGCCTGATTTCTGAAGGGCTTGGCTGACCTTGTGAAAATGACCTAGCATATATCTCTTAAGATTTTGCAAACTTTGGCTGTGAACTAGCGCCCCACAAAAAAATTCAAGTTGGGCCCCAGTTTCAAACTGGGCCCCACTGGCTGGCCCTGAGTCTCATAATTACTAGGCCCGAGTTGCCCTGCCCTTGCATGAAGTCTTGGGTTTGCAATTTGGGGAGATGTTATGTACTGAGTTGAATAGGATCCAGCAGTCTGATTGGTCTTGGAACAATAGGCTTCAGAATGCAGCAGTCTGATTGGTCCTAGAACAATAGGATTCAGAATGCAGCAGTCTGATTGGTTCTAGAACAATAGGATTCAGAATGCAGCAGTCTGATTGGTCCACAGGAGCCACCCAATCCAGCTCCAGGTGGAAGTGAATCTGCAACCTGATTGGCCTACAGGAGAATCCGGGGAATTAGCCAATCAGGTGGGGCCCATTGTGTAAATAATGTATATAAAGCAGACATTCTTAGGGAACTTCCATTCCTCCTCACCACTATGAGCTGAATAAAGAGCATGAAATATCCACTCTCGACTCCGAGTATATTTCAGGAGAGGAGAGACTGCCCGCTGTGGGGTGGGCGGGCTGGGGAGGCCCCTTAGATTTAGAGGCCCTAGGCTTCAGCCTACTTAGCCTATACATAAATCTGGCACTGATGCCGCCCTTCTGAATTTCAAATATAAAGGTAAAGGGACCCCTGACCATTAGGTCCAGTCGTGACCGACTCGGGTTGCAACGCTCATCTCGCTTTATTGGCCAAGGGAGCCGGCGTACAGCTTCCGGGTCATGTGGCCAGCATGACTAAGCTGCTTCTGGCAAACCAGAGCAGAGCACGGAAACATCATCTACCTTCCCGCCAGAGCGGTACCTATTTATCTACTTGCACTTTGACGTACTTTCGAACTGCTAGGTTGGCAGGAGCTGGGACCGAACGACGGGAGCTCACGCCGTCGCGGGGATTCAAACCGCCAACTTTCTGATCGGCAAGTCCTAGGCTCTGTGGTTTAACCCACAGCGCCACCCGCATCCTATAATTTCAAATATAAATGCAGCCTAAAAGGATACATGTGTACTCGCATCCAGGTATATATTCCCCCACATATATACACACCCACTCATGTACACGTGTCCCAAACACGCAACTCCAGATATACATCCACCTGCACCCGCCCCCCCCCTCAGGTGAGGAGCCTCTGAGGCGACACACCTGCCGCCCCTCCCCCCCCACTCCCGCAGCAACCGTCCTTCCCGCGCTTTGTGCCGTCACGCGGAGGGGGCGTGGCCCTGCGGCTGCGGCGGGGCGTGCGTAGCGGCTGCTCCGCCGCCATTTTGTCTCGGTGAGGCGTTTCGCGCTCGCGGGGAGGAGGGGGAAGGCGGGAGGGGCGGCGGCGGCCTGCTTCTCGCTCCTGCTTCCGGCGGCGGAGGGTTCCGTTTCAGCTTCCCTGGAGAGGCGGGCGAGGCGAGGCGATGTCGGCGTTCTCGGAGTCGGCGCTGGAGCGGAAGCTGCTGGAGCTGAGCAACTCCCAGCAGAGCGTCCAGACCCTGAGCCTGTGGCTCATCCACCACAGGAAGCACTCGCCCCTCATCGTCGCCGTGTGGGAGCGGGAGCTGCGCAAAGGTGAGGCCGCGGGGCGGAGAGGAGGGCGGGAAGGTCGCGCAGGTAGGCCGCGAGCGGGATGCGAGGGGGAAAGGTCCTCAGGTACCTCGGCGGCGGTTCCCTCTCTTCCGCCTCCCTCGCGCCGGGCCTCGGAGGCCGCTCTCGCCTCAGCAGCCAGCCGGAAGGAGAGAACGGGGACCCGCCGCCGGCCTCCGTTGCGGCCCGGGAGGAAGACGCTTGTGGGACGGCGGAGGGACCGGTGCCGGCGCCCCCTAACCTTTATGTCGGTGGGGGATAGGAAAGGGGGCGCGGCGAGGAAGGGCCGCAGAAGCCCCGGCGAGGCCCGTTTCCCCTGATAGGAAGTGCTTTGGAACTCCCGGCCACTTGAGATCGAGCAGGCGCTCTTTCCGGCGCCTGCCGAGAACGCATTTCCCGTTTCGACGGGCCTACCCACCCAAGAGGGTTAGAAATGCGAGGTCATTTTACTGTTTTGGCATTGTGACTTTTGCGTGTTTTAAAGTCTTTCTTGGTTTGCCTTAACCACTTGAGGGTTTGTTTGTTTTTGGCTTTGACAGTCAAGAGGGATGTAGATTTTTGTTACGTGTTAAGGTACTGTGCACCACAATCCTAAATTAAGGCTCACACCGGCCTTTCTCGACTTTGGGTTGCTATATGCTGTTGGACTACAATGCATCACCCCTGGCCACTGGTCTTGGTAGCCTGGAATGATGGGTGCTGTAGACCAGCAACACCTGGCGAGCCAAGGTTGAGAAAGGCTGGTTACACTCACGGGCGGAGGAATGGGAGTGTGGAGGGAGCGGACCGCCCCGGGCACCACTATTCCAGTAGGGTGCCATCACAGTGGGGCCCCCAGACACGTGCCGCGCCCCCCCGTGTACCGGGCGCACGCCACGCCAGCCACGCCCCAGGATACACATCACATGGGGGGGCGCCAGCCACGCCCCCGTCTGCTTTCTGCCCCTGGTAGTAGAGCATGCAGCTTCCCAAAAGTGGGTCTCCAGCTGTTTTGGGACTACTGTCATCCCTAGCCACTGGGTCTGGTCGCTAGGGATGATGGGAATTTTAGTCCAAAAACAGCTTGAAACAGTTTTGGAAACCCTGCACCAAGGCTCTTTGTATGTCTGTTAAGTCTCAGCCATTGCTGATTTCAGTATGTTACTCCCAGATAAGCATGTTTACCCTCCAGGGACAGACTGGGAGGTTCCACCCAAAATTTAAGAGGGTGTGGAGCCCTTGTAAGGAGGGTTTCCATAACAGCTGTTGATGGGGGTATGAAAATGACATTGTGGGTCAAGGTGATTGTCTTTTATGGGGGGGATAAAAAAAAAATCAGTTGTTGCTGGTCTTGCAACATTTTGTTGGAAGCTGCCCAGAGTGGCTGGGGGGACCCAGCCAGATGGGCGGGGTATAAATAATAAATTATTCTTATTATTACCATTTTCTGATATCTAATTATAATGTTTTTATTGTGGGGAAGGGGATTGGGAAGAATGGAGCAATATTCAGTTCAATCTCTATGCAGCAGGTAGCAATACAAAAATGCTATTACTTTCTAAACATAATTTGAATCGCTTGATCTAAATGGTGGCACATAAATATTACAAAGGTACAAATTTTGACTGACCCTTGTAACCTAGACAGTTTAAGGCAGATGTACTGTAAATAGGGTTGTTGTACTTGGCATTGCACTTCTGTGGGAATTCAGGCAATGTTCATGCTCTCATCTGTGGCTCTGAATTTAGGGAAGACAACTGGGCTTATTTTGGGCACAGTGAAACTGGGATGCTTTGAACACCTTGGCCACACCTGCTTGCCAAAATGGTCAGCTGTAACATCCCTTGGAAGTTGCTAGAGAAGCTTACACTTAAAATACAATAGTAGACAACTGAAGTGTTGGGAATTCTTTGGCTGCCTGAACAGCTGGTCCCAACCTTGCTCTCGCTTGGAGATATAGGTGGGAATTTCTCTTATCATTGTACTCTGCACTACTATGGGGTTATCCCAACTTCAAGCAATAGAGGAAAGTTTGTTTCCTCTTACCAATTTTGCCAGTGAAACCAGTGGTTAGTGGAAATGTGGATGCCTGATCAGGGTGAGGTGAGATTAGATGTGAACTAGGAATTCCTTGTATTTCAACCATAGTTTTGCAAAGTACTAGGAATTCCTGGAGAGACTGTTGCCTCAAGTTCATTGAGATGCTCAGAATCAGAAGTATAAGTGAATCTGCAGGCGGTAGATGAATTGGATTTTATGCTAGCCAACCAGTCGTGAAACTTCCAAGTATCAACCAAAAATGAAGTGTACTTGAGGTAATGTTTTTATTAAGAAGGTTGAGACTGGGAACACCTAGCAAATGTTCTAGTGTGGTGGTGATATAATTAAAACCTAAAAAGGGGCCAGATCCCAATATTTTAAAAATACATTGTCGCTGTCACAGTGGACTGCTGAATCGGTTCACCTCAACAACTACTTTATACATTTTCACAAAAAGAAATAGATGTAATACTGGCTTCAGACCTTGTTTTAATGCAGGGGTCAGCAAATTTTTCAGCAGCGGGCCGTCCCACTGTCCCTCAGACCTTGTGGGGGGGGGGACTATATTGGGGGGAATGAACAAATTCCTATGCCCCATAAATAACCCAGAGATGCATTTTAAATAAAAGGACACATTCTACTCATGTAAAAACACGCTGATTCTGGATTTAGAAGGTGATTGGGCTAGATCCGGCCCCCGGGCCTTAGTTTGCCTATCCATGTTTTAATGGATGTGAAAAGCTCATGAAATAACTTATCCCTCTGGGGTTTTTAGTTCTTATATTTTCTTCCATTTGGGGTTTAGTTCAACTGTAGTACGTTTTTGTGCATCACTTCCATCTTCCTTTAGCAATCATATGCCCTACCATATTGTGGCAAAACTATGTGGCTATCATTTTAAAATGTTTCTTGTTGGCACAAGTTTTTTTATGTCAAGTGCAACTTTGGAGTTATCCCCCCTTGCACCTTGGAGTGTGTGTGTTACATTAGGGCCATATTTTATACATTTGCTCCATTTTACTTGATTACTTGGAACAATTGTATTTATTACTGTTGTGTGTTGCCGAGAGCATTTTTAGAAAGGCACCTAATTTTAATCATTTTTAGTATTTCATATAAATATGTTTCAGAAGCTGTATTGCAGGGTTTTATTTCAATATTTGAAACTAAGAATTCCTAAATAAAAAAGTACTGTAGCTTGGTTTTAGCATTATAATGACTATGGGTTGCATCCAACCTAACTTAGTTTATTTCGTTCAGAGGTATGTGCAAGTAACTTAGGTTGAATTAAACCCAATATTGTTAGAATTTAAAATAAATATATTATTAAATGTAACCTTGAATCTGAATTGCTTATGTATTTCTGATGTGGGTGTCTCAATTTGGGTTGTGGTAATTCATAATTATCACCAGGACTGAACTGATCCAAGTGTGTGCTTATTTTCTTAATGCTTTTATTTCTGAAGACAAAATATACCATCATAATGACCAGCCATCTGGCAAGTTTTCTCTTGCCAGAGTATTTATAATTATTTGCTTGTTAGATTCACCTTACCTTGGCTTTGTGCACTCCCCAGTTCTATTTCCAATCCTCCACCTGTGCAGCCATGAGAAGTTTGGGGATTTATACTTCAGATTTCAGTTATCCACAACTTAGTGTGCTTAATTTTAACAATATTTTGTTTGCATGTGGCAGCTTCATAAATGATGGCCTGAAGCACCTTGCTTTCAAACAAGCCATCATTTATATTAAAAACAGTTTGCTGGGTTCAGATGACATAAAAGCTTTCAATCTAATTTTGGTCATCCTGCAGGAGGCCTGGGGAAAGTTAGGTTCAGTAATGAACCACAAAAAAATCCTTCATTATTTGTCTGGAGGAAGACAAACAAGCAGCCTATGTTTGGATGCAACACCTAAGTAAAAGTGTGGCTTGGTGCAGCAGAACTGTGGCGGAGAACAATAGTCATAGCCTTTGTTCCATGAAACTACATGTTTGGTCCAGTGTTAGAAACTGAGATATGAAAGCTAGGAGCTAAATGGCATCTTAAACCTAGGTTATGGGCACAACAACAGAATGTCTAGGCACACTTTTATAACAAGACTAGAAAGTTGAAAATGTATGAACTGCAGATAAAATATTATGTTCATTTTTCACATGGTCTAGTCCTTCCCCTGCCCACCCCCCTAATATTCTAAAGAGGGTCTGTTCTCCAGTCTTCAGAGAGTAGCTGGAAGTGGGGAGGCAGAAAAAAGTCATCCTTTCCTTCCACTTTGTAGTTTTAATCTGAAATTTTAGGTTCAGTACTGCACCCAGAGCTCAGAAACTGCTCATGCTAATGAAATTCCCTGTCACAAAATGCGCCTCGAACAATGGGAGTTTCGAACACTGGTTTGGTTATCTGTGCCAAGCCATGATTTTGTTTAGTGTTTTGTGTGAACCAGGTCTTCTTAGTTTTCTCTACCAATTTTAATGTTCAGCTTCATCTCATAAAAAATCCCAAACTTCCTTCTGTAAAGCTAGTTGATAACTGAGTGTTACCCTTTAGTGAGTGCATGCAGATTTGTACTTAGTGGGTTTCAAAAAGAAATATTTGAAAAGCCCTCAAACTAAGGGCCAGAAGCCCAGACAAAATGTTTCTGTCTGGTGCCAAAAGCCGGACAAAGAGGATGCCAGGAGACCATTCTGCAGGCAGGGAGCCAACACTGAAAAGGCCCATTCCCATGCTGCTACTCTCTGGACCTCCTGTGGTATGGGCATACAGAAAAGGGAAGGGCCTGAGATGACGATTGCAGGGTCTGGGTCATATAAGGAGAGGAGGTCCTTGAAAAATAAAAGTTATCAACATTTCAGTAGCTGTTCATACAAATTGCAGTACTTTGGCTCTGAATTAATATTTCATTCTTAAAAATGAATTCACCTGGTGTATTTCTTAATTTTTATTTAATAAGATGGAGTCTATGTAGTGTAACACTTAGCTGAGGAAATCATCATTTGATCAATAGCCAGATTGTTTTGTTTTAATTTTTAAAGATATTGCTGAGGAAAGGAGAGAGATACTTTGAGGAATTAGGATTCTGTTTTTGTTTCTGCATCTAATGTTAAAGTTGAACAGGACACAGCAAAATAATAGATAGGATAAAGACAGTGATTCCTCCTCCCCACATGCTAGACAGCACAGGTCAGAAGAGTTTTTGCACTTTATCTGTTAAAGAGTATGACTTGGATGGATCTGGACACAGTCATACTTCACGTAGTTTCATTGAAAGGAATAGAACTTGTGTATCATGAATTTAGTTTCATTGAATTTATAACATTCCTACCACTCTAGCAGTTATGCTAATCTTGGGCAACAATCTTACACAGGTGTAAGTTCCTGCATGTGAAAGAAATAATTTGACAGTTCTGATTACTGTTTCCATTCCACCCCCTCTGACTGTCACTGTGGGAAATGCGAGTGATTTTAAGATAGTGCCTTATGATAATAGAACCATAATATATATGTGTTGCTGTTAGCTCAACAGCCAGTTAATATTCTTCTGTAATGACTAACACAATGGCTTAAACAGTCACAACAAACCTGTTGTATGATATGTTGCTAGGGCTGTGAAACTGGTAATTCCTCCTTGAGTGATTGTTGGCTAATTAATTTTGCACTGAAGGAAGTATCAGTTCCTCAGTCATCAATTTTGCAGAATTTTTCAATATACAGCTCATTATATGTTGATACAATGTCGCCTTTGAATAGTTTTATTGTATTTTCTCAGAGTCTAAGTGCATAGTTATCACAGAGTTAAGTGATCAAGTGTATGTCCCCATCCCAGAGGAATTATGGCTAACATTCAGTTGGTGCAGACAGAATGGTAGCCATAGTTAGTGCTGATGAGGGAAAGAAAGTTCAAGTAGGAGGATCACAGAAGCCTGAGGGGTTTTCCAGATCTGAACATGCATCTGCACTGAGCCTTGGAGGGGCAGGGAAGTAAATAAAGGGGCTTGGCTTCTCTGGGAAAAAATGTATGGCCTAGGTAATTAGAATCATAATTAGGCTGGAATGTAAGTTCACCACTAATTAGTTGATTCTATCTTTTCAGCAGAATTTGGTACACAATTCAGATTTTTTAACAACCATCATGAAGGGTAGAAACTTTTATCTAATAGTTATGATTTTACAGTTACTAACTTCTGCATTTGGATTCTAAAGTGTTGTCAAAAGCTTTTAGAGTTAGGAATCCAACGCTTGCTGATCTCAATACAGAATTTATATTTTTTCGACATCTGCCAAATCAAACTCAGTGCCAAAGGTCACCTCAATTCCGACATCCCAAATACAAAATGGGTGTATTCTTGTCCCTTTTCTTTTTAATTTATTTTTTTCAGATCTTCCAGAGCACATAAAAAAATAAATTAAAAAAAAATCACATCCCGTCAAAATCCAGTTGCACTTTTATTGTACAGTCATACCTTGGTTATCAAACAGAATGCATTCCGGGAGTCCGTTTCACCATTTGACTCCCGGAACCGTTCAAAAACCAAGTTGCGGCTTCTGATTGGCTGCAGGAATATCCTGCATCCAATCAGAAGCTGCGGAAGCCGTGCCAGGCTTCCGAAAATAGTTCGAAAACTGGAACACTCACTTCTGGGTTTCGATTGTTCAGGATCTGGTTTGTTCAGGAGCCAAGGTGTTTGAGATCCAAGGTACGGCGGTATGCGGATGATGCAGCCTTATTATCACTGATGAGGATAGATCTGAAACGTCTTTTACTGTCCCTGGTTTTCTATTGTGAAACCAATAAACCTTCAATAAATTATGAGAAGACAAAAATTCTGGTCTTCTCTAATTCCCGGAAATTACAGAAATGGAAAATAAGAGGATAAGAAATCCAGCAAGTCAAGATGCACAGATACTGTGGGATTTTTTTTCCAGAGCAACTCAGGTTGATCCAACCATCGCACAAGTGCTATAAAACAGGCAAAGTGTACCTCCTCAGCAGTAGCTCACTTTTATTTTCAGAAAGATAACCAATTTATACCAGCTACTATTCAGATTTTTCAAACTAAAGTGTTGTCCCAGCTACATTTTGAGATCCCAATATAGATACAAGCATATAATAGTCATTTAGATAAGATACACTCAAGTTTCTTGAGACATATCCTGGGGCTCCCAAGTTCAATCAAGTATGAGACAATGCGTTCAGAACTAGGTATGCAGACAATGGAATATTGGGTATGGGCTAGCACTATAAAATACTATTTGCGTTGCCATTTTCATTGCCAGCCTTTGAGTCTGCTTTCTGACTTACTAAAGGACTCTTATAAATCCAATGGTTCGAACTCTTACATAGCAGAATTAGATCTATTGGTATTGACTTGGAACTGTTGTAGAATTCAAATGAGCAATATATTTATCGCAATAGTCAAACCAGATTAAGGGACATTGAAAAACAAAACATCGAGTCAGCTGTAAATAAAATTTGCTTCCCCTAGTTATATGGATTAAATGCAACAGGATCACTTATATTTCAAAATAAATAATTCCAGTCCAGCCTTTACATTAGCCTAACTGAACGTTTTCTCCTCAGCTTTTTCAAGGGCAGACATTTAAACATTTCCAGAAATAATAGACATTGCAGATGTTCTTTAAATGTGCCAAACACTGTAGAACATATTCTATTCTACTGTCCATTGTACAACTAGCTACACAGATGTGTGCTATCCCCTTTTTGAGGAAGTGTAATATCACGGCACAGTGAAAATATCAGTTTTTATCTGACGTTAACCTGGAAGTAACTGCAAGGGTCCTAAGTTTTTGTCAATAGTATATCTTAGAGTGGTGAATGGCACTATTTAGTGGGAAGAAATCCCAATGAATTCCTTGTTATTATATATTTTAAATGTATATATTTTTAACTTTTATATATGGATGTTTTTATGATGGAATATATTTGTAATGCCTAATAAAGGTTTGGCGAAGTAAGTAAAGTAGAGCTGTCAAAACAAGCAGAATTTTGCTATATAAAATAAGTGAATTTGCATATAGTTGCTGATCTTATTCTGCTTCTGCTAGTCATGGGCAGGGTGCTGGAAATATGTTTATTACTGTGGTTGCACTCATCCCCCCGCCCCAGTTATATTCAGTGTGACGTTTGCATTGGTATTCTTCAGGGCAGCCTTGTAAATAAGCTTCACAAAGGTTATTTGCCTCAAACATGTTGCTATCCAGTGTGGTCGGCTACTCTGTGCTGGGTATGAAAGAGGATGCTTCTTTTCCTTGGCACCTATTGGTTTCTGTGTGGAGCAAAAAAGAGTGCAGAACATCCCATCTCCTCCTACAAGGGTTGGAAAATAGAAACTTTTATGTAAACAAGCTTGGACACCCAATATACAATCCACACCTCTCTTAAGGTATTGAATATTCACTCTTAAAGAGTGTTTCTCTGGAGGGTGTAAAGTACAGCCGGTGCGGGTAGTAGCCTGCGGACATGGTCTGGCCTTCTGAGAGTGCCAAGGGCTTGGTTCAGGAGTCTGGAGGGCTCCATCCTCTTGTTTAAGAGAACAATAAGAGACAGAATGAAAAGTCTGAATACACTGAATTATAACTATCAGATAATCCTTTCTCTGAGAGACTTTTGTAATCTCTGTTCTCTTTTCAACATCTGGTGAAAAATTTTATATTTTCCCCAGATTCTTGTATGTCTCTTATGCCGCAAATTTTAACTGCTGGCTGTGATTTATTTTTATTGTTTAGGTGAGGGGCTGTATTGATAGGGATCTGGGGAATGAAGTGAAGGAACCATTGAAAGCCTGCTTCACAGTTTGCTTTATATTTCGCAGATAAATACACTCACATTTGCACTAACTGGCATACTGTAGTTTTAACAGAGTTGGATGTAGCCAAGACACCATCTAAGCATGTTGGAATGGAAAGGCAACGCACAGGAGACTTGCAAAGGAGTTTGTGAGTGTCCCCTCACTTCCCCTTTCACCTCTGATATGGGGGGTGGAAAGAAGTAGTGCAGGGAAACTCACAAAGGGCAAGGGATTTTGACAGGTGAGTTGCCCCTCCCACCTGTCAAAGTTGACCAATGGGAGTCAAAAATATTCCCCACCATAGTCTAAAGCTTAGACCTAGTGATCAGGGTTAATTATAGTCCAGTCTCTAACCTTTCCCTTTTTGAGTAAATTACTGGAGAATGAGGTAGCTTTTGCCGGTTTTTTCTAAAGAGGATACTGATAATCTGGATTCCAACCTGGTTTCAGGATGGATACATATGTTAGGGAATGAACTGGATGAGTCCAAGCCAGTTGTATTTTCTAGAACTCTTGGTAGCTTTCAGTATCATCAGCCATGGTATAAATCTGAGTTTAGGAGGCACAATCATCTATATCAGGCAGGCACGAGGAGCTTCTCGGCCACGAGTCAAACATAGGCCACCAAGGCTCCTCATGACTAGGCTGATGATACTGGGAAGACCTGGGGAAAAACGGAAAAATGGGGGGGGGACCAGGTTCTCCCCCCCCCAGCCTTTTTTTCATGGGGGGAGGGTGGGGAAAAACCTCCCCCCCCCCAATTTCCCCGCTTTTCCCCCAGGCCTTCCCATCTCTACTCATGACGTCAGATGTGGGGCAGGTAACAGTGGGGAGAGGCACACTCCCAATGGCTGAGTACTGCCCTTTGCAAGTGTCCTCACACTTCCCCTTTAAACTTCTGGCACTAGGAGTTTAAAGAAGTGTGGGATGCCTTGCAAAGTATAAAGCTGACAACTCCCCTTGCATGACAGCTAACTGCTTTGGGACCCCACACAAGCGATGTTGACAGGGCAGGAAAACCCAGCTACCAATCATGTGAAGTCATAATGGCATGTGATTGTGACTGTGAGTTCTGGAAGACATGCTCCCTGCATTGCAGGCATTTTTCCACCTGGCCTGAGAGGGCAGTGGCTGGACTGACTCCAGCTACAAAAGCTGAGGTTTCTGAACAGAGTCTTGGGCTGAGGTATTGTTGTAAAGGGCAGTGGTTATTGTTTTTATTATTAATTTTTTAAGATCTTTATTTTAGTTCTTAGTATTTACAAGGAAATTGTTCTGTTTGGTTGTGTACTTTCTGATGTTTTATTTATTGTTTATGACCACTTTTGTTATGTTTGTAACTGTGTATTTTTTCACATTGTAAAGCACTGTGAACACGGAAAGGCGGCATACAAATAAAATGATGTAGGTATGTATGGAGCCAACGGGTTCCTCACCTCTGATCTATAATAAACCGCTGGGGGAGGTCATCTGATGGTTGGGCTGTGCTGTCAACTTCAAGCCATTTACATGTACCTAAACTTCTCTTTCCCATGTAGAAATCTCTAGGAGCTTGTGGAACTTTTGAACAGGCCTATGAAAATGGTTGTACTGGGTGAGGGTGAACAAGATGGAACATATTTCAGATAAAATGGACTCAGTGGGGGCTGGAAAGCCAGCCAGACTGAGTGGAGGTGTACACTTCTCTTGATTGGCGTTTCACTACTAGACTACTGTAATATGCTGTATTTGGGGCTGATTTTAATGGTGTTTCCGAAACTTTAATTGCTGCAAAATGTGGCAGCCTGGATTATGTTGGCAGTTGGAATACTGGTTGTTCGTGCATTTTGAAGCTCAGCACAAAGTGCAGAGAAAAATATGGCCTTACACTATTTCTCGCACAGAAACGGAGGTTTCTGATACACCTTAAGAGAGCTAATCTGCACATCAGATCCTAAGGAAGGGACACCGCAGAGCCTTTGACAGTTCGAATCACAAACACACTGTGTTCACTTTTACCCCTACCGTGAACATGGTGTATGTTGGCTGGGACATGGGGCATGTGTAATCATTCTTGTAGTAGCATTTCGGCTGCGGAACTGCCTCCGATGAGAGAGCTGTTTGTCCTCATTGGGTGCTGTAAAAATAAAACACACAGATGATAGATGGATAAATGTCTCAAATAAATACAATTGCATTGGTCAGTAATAAGCTTTTAAATATTCCACATGAGTACATGAAGAAAAAACTAACCTTAATGCCACATGTAACACTCTTGTTAAAGGTACTAGGGGTAGGTTAATTTATTTATTTTATGTATGGGTAAGTCAAGGAAGTCAACACAGTGTGTGCCCAAGGCTATTATGTTGGATTAGGATCCTTATTTGTGTACCTGTTTTTAAATCTTTGCTTACTTATAAAGTTCAGAGGGTAGCTGTGCAGAAGTTCCTGTTTCATATGGAAGCAGGGTTATAATTACGAATCAATGATGTGAAGTTTCTGGAAATTAATGAATTGAAATATTTTCATATGCAAATTAGGATAAAACATATTACAAAATTTTCAGTTTGCTTTAGAAAACTTTCTCATACCTTTACAGGGTGATCTAATTTACCATGCTTATTTCCCCTGTTGAAACTGCCAAGCTCATCTAATGCTATATTTGCAATTGGCATCCATTCATTGTTAATGAACTTACAAACATATAAGAAAAATAAAGCACTAGGGGGAAAATCCACCCCACATCACTGCTACTAACATTGGGAAAATCCTTATTGTCATTTGCTTCAGTATTGTTATAACATCCCTCTCCCCCGCCCTTTCTTTTCTCTTTTCAGCAAAACCGAACAGGAAGCTTACATTCTTGTATCTGGCCAATGATGTAATTCAGAACAGCAAAAGAAAAGGACCTGAATTTACAAAAGACTTCGCACCAGTCATAGTTGAGGCCTTCAAACATGTTTCCAGGTACAATTGTTCTCTTCCCCAACCCCATGGAAATTATTTTTATTGGAATATTTGGGAATATTTATCACAGCAACTCAGTATCGTACACTACCCTTTTATTAGATTTTTTGAAAGGATGAAACTACTGAAAACTGTTTGCTGATTTTTAGCATACCTCAAAAGTGGTATGAATAACAGATGTACTTTGCTGCGATAATAACCTGAAAAAAGTTAATTGACTTTAGATTTGAGTATTACTGTTTATTTAGCTCCAGTTGTCCACTTCAGTATGTGTTTTATTCATTCATTATGTTTCTAATCAAGGCAATGAAAGATAGCATTTCTAAAAGTGGATTTTTTTCCATACATAAAAGCAGTAGTAGAAAAATGGTTTGCAAAGCCTTCTAACAATATCATACATAGTTTGTTGACATACATAGTAACATTACATTGTAAGTTAATTAGAATATTGAAATGAATTTTGATGACAAGGCTCACAAATTTGTCTCCGTTAGTGTCACCATTGGCTTATAGGAATAAGATGTCATTTTGAGTCTTTTGTGTTGAGCAGTAGTTGTAACAAACTTAAATGTAACTCTGCATAAGTGGAGCACGTATGAATTGAATATCAAATAATCTTTGTTGTATTGACAGGTTATAGGTTTATAAGTCACCATGTAGGAAAGAGGAATGTTTTAGCTGTTACTTCTTCTTTGGCAATCACGCATAGCTGAGTAAGATTGTCTTACAACTGTTTCCAAACAAATCAAAAGAATACATTAATATGGGGATTTCAGTCTAAACTTCATTTACACAGATCTAGTATCATGGCCACAAATATTTAGATTGGTAACAAGCAATCAAGGAACTGTTCAGTTCTGTGTATCAGGAAGGTATGATGCTTTCAATTTCTTGTGAAGTGTTGCTGAGTAGAAAAGTTTTTTGGAGACTTTTTTTCTCTCTCTACACCTTTATGAGAATACTCCCTCCTCCCCCCCCCCGAAAGCCACAGAGTGGTTGGTCTTATGCTTTACAGGTTTTAGTGAGCTATTTGAAGCAGGATTGTTGAATCTTAGTAAACTGGGAGATGAATTCTGTTTACCTAGCTGAACATTCAGCTGTTTAACTACCCCAACATTCTATTGGGATGTGGTGACTTGAAATTTCATACATGGTTTGGTTTGGATTCTGGTATCTGTTAACTCTGCCTTACCTTGCCATGTATTAGTGCTGTATTTGCTTTTTCTCCCTACCACAGCGAGACTGATGAGAGTTGTAAGAAGCACCTGGGTCGAGTGCTGTCGATTTGGGAAGAAAGATCTGTTTATGAAAACGATGTATTGGAACAGCTTAGGCAGGCTTTGTGTAAGTAAATTTCAGCTCATACAACTTTATTTTTTATGCTTCACATATCTTTCCAGCAGATTTTTTATGTCTCTAATTTTATTCTCTCTAATTTCTAGATGGCGATAAAAACCCAAGAAAACGCCCATATGAACAGATAAATGTGGAAGACAATAATTGCTCAACACAAAGTTCTCCATGTGACCCTCCACAGGTAGAAATAATCTGTGAAAGTGAAAACGTAGCTGGAGTGTTGGATTTACTATCTCCAAACATTTGATTTGGTTTTTTAAAGCAGGTGTGTGGAATCTCCAGCCCCTGAGCCTAATTATGTCTGGCACAGTTCCCATTTTGACCCATGTAGCAATTAAAAAAAAACCCCAGTGCTACGAGAAGGACTTTGAATCCAAGTTGCCTCCCCTCCAGAAGGAGAAATGCTCAACTTAAAAGGGGCTCCCTGTGACCTCTGATTGGCAGTTACAGTATCCTTCTTTCCATGTTGACAGGTGTCAGGCAACTGACATTATAATAGCAGGTGATTGACAGGCTGATCCTACCCAGTTGGGTGGTAGATGGGGAGATTTAGAAATGTATCCTGAAAGGGACTGCATGTGGGCACATTTTCCTGCTATGGTGACAGTCTGGGTAGAAGTGGCTAGTAATAATCTTTGCTCCTTCAGTATGAAGCTTTACTCCAATATCATTGCTGGTATTGAATAACTGCCTTGTATAGAGCTTTGCTGCATAGATGGATATTGGTGCAATATTGCCCATCTAATATGTGTATTGTACATAAATGAGTCTGGATATGGGGGGCAGGGAGAATGTTTCGTCACACTACCGTGTTATAAATTCATAGGGCAAAATGTTTTTAACCTTTCAGCAAAAAGCATGATAAATAATGTATGAAGCCTTTGCAGTAGTTTAGATAGTATCCATCTTGTGAATAATACAGTTTCTTAAAACATTTGAAAATATGAATAGTAGTAAGTTGCTTGGGGCTGAAATTCTTAAGAGAAGAAGATTTACTTTCAAATCAGTATCTGTTAATCCTGGGTATTGTCAAAATAGATTCTTCATTGTGATTGCCATGGACAAGTAGATCTAGGGAAAATGAAGAAGCAGGAGTCCACACAGTTGTAGGGAAATGTTTAGTCTATTTTGTATTAAAATGTTATGTTCTCACAGAGGTCATCATCGTTCCCTTTGTTTCCGATGCTCAGGCTGTAAGTGCTGTTGCAGCTTGGGGGAACCCTGAGATTTGCAGTAGTGCACAGAAATGTTTCAAGGAAATAGCCTAAGTGGGGGGTGGACACCAAAACCAACCTAATAAGGACTAAACATATTCAGTAACCACAGAATGCTGTCTATCTGGAAAAGAAAACCTGCTTTTTGGTATAAGAATGACATGGAGCATCCAGGAAAAAGCAGTGGCTGGTTTGATGGCACCCTCAATAGGAGCACTCCACACTGCAATATTTTGATGCAGGTCCCACTGTCTAAAAAAGAAAAATCAGTGCTTTAGGTTCTTGTCTCCAGTACTGTTGCATTATATGTTGATACTTGGTTGTTTTTTAAAGTATACTTTCTCCCTCATAGACTGCAGATCTCATAAGAGCATTGCAAGAGTTAGAAAATGCAGCCTCTGGGGATGCAGCAGTTCATCAGAGAATAGCCTCATTACCTGTAGAGGTTCAAGACGTGTCCCTGCTTGACAGAATAACAGGTAAGGGAAGTAGTACCATTGGCAGACATGTAGCTCATGACAGAATGTTAGGGCTTGCCAAGATGATTTATAATGTGTTGAATTATGAATATTGTTTTTCTTTCTAGACAAAGAATCAGGAGAGCAGCTTTCCAAGATGGTAGATGACGCATGTATGTTGCTGGCGGATTACAATGGCAGGTTGGCAGCTGAAATAGATGATAGGAAACAGCTAACTCGGATGTTGTCAGACTTTCTGCGATGCCAAAAAGAAGTCCTCTCAGAGAAAGAGCAAACATTGGAAGTGCGTGACTTTGTTGTGGTAGTTCTATTCTCTAGCTTTTCTTAATTAAAATGCTTGACCATGTTTAAACTTCCCTTACAGTTTAGATCTAGGTATTAGGTCTGTTTTCTCTATCTTTTTCTTTCCAGCAGGTGACTAGGAGGGCTTCTGTCACTTGAAATTTTATTCACCATTTAATGATTAAGTATTTACCGATAATCTTATTGTATATACCAGTCTGGGGGGGGTGGAGGGAATAGGTGTTAAGATTTGACATTTAACATGTTATAAATTTCAAATGACTCCTTGGACATGTTTGATATTGGTATATATATTTAGTTCATAATTTCCCAGTGATTTATTTCCCAGAATACATTACAGTGCAGTCCTAACCATGTTTATTCAAATGCAAGTCCTATTTAATTCCATGGAGGTACAGTCCCAGGTTAGGGTTGCAGCCTTAGTTGCACTTGGTTCTCACCAAAAACAATGTGACTTTGTTAGGACTACCGCATTTTTCGCTCCATAGGACGCACTTTTTCCCCTCCAAAAATGAAGGGGAAATGTGTGTGCGTCCTATGGAGCGAATGCAGGCTCCTCGGCTTCGCGGCGAGGCGCCTGACCTGGAAGGTGGAGGAGGAACAGAAGGGTCTCCTTCTGTTCCTCCTCCCGCTTCGCAGCGATGCGCCTTTCCAGCGAAGCCGGAGGAGGAACAGAAGGGTCTCCTTCTGTTCCTTCTCCAGCTTCGCTGAAGGGCGCTGCGCTTTCTCTCTCTGCACAGAGAGGGAGAAGGCGCAGCGCCCTTCAGCGACGCGCCTGTCCTGGCTTCTGCTTTAGCCCTGCGCAGCCTCTTCGGGCAGGGGGAGCCTTCATCCCGCTGCCCTGAAGAGGCTTGGCGCGGTTATCCCAGAAGCCAGAACAGCCACACAGTATCCCAGAAGCCAGATCCCTCTTGCTGTTCTGGCTTCTGGGGTTCAGAATAAGTTTTTCTTGTTTTCCGCCTCCCAAAACTAGGTGCGCCCTATGGTCCTGTGCGCCCTATGGAGCGAAAAATACGGTAATTTTTCCCATTGATTTCAGTAGGACCGAAGTTGAATTCACTTAGCCTAGATCCAACCCATAGTCTCCACTAGCAAGTCTGCACAAGAAAGCTTTTGGTGAATTAAGCTAGATGCATATTTGTGAATCTTAATAGGATACACATATGACTTTAAAAAATGAGTTTTATATGCTGGTGAAACAGGTTAATGAAATGAGGATTATTTATTTTAATTTTCTTTTCTCAGATGTATATAACTATTATTCAGTAGTATATTATTATTATTATTATTATTATTATAATATAAATATATTCTAATGAATGTTCCAACAGCCCTAGATGACAGCTCTGTGTTCCTACTATGGTGGTGCTTGTTTTTTGAGGGGTGGTAGTGGAAAAGCATTAGGATATTACCTAAATTAAGGTAGTTTGTCATGTTGAGTTATGTGCATACTTGGTTTTCCCCCCTTCAGTTAGGGAAGTAACAATGTTAGTTTTAGCAGAGAGCTATTTATAAGAGTTGCATCTATACTGACAATTTCTGTTTTGGTTTAATAGCTTAAAATTAGATCCGCAGTACATAATGACCCCTTCCTAAAATTAATTGTGCCTTAAACATAACAGCAATAACTTGTTACAAAGTAGAACAAACCCAAACATTGTTCATTAAGGTTCCTCTAACCTTCATGTGGGTAAGTATTGTCTTACAGATATTTTTTTTAATCCAGCTTCTTTAACAACTATCTAGCTTTTGTTTCAGGTGAGGAGCATGGACCATATCTTCTAATGGTGGCATCTTCCATAAGTAATGCATCCTGCTAAAAATAAAATTCAGAATCAAAATCCTGCTTTGTCTCATGTTTTTGAAGATTGACAAAACATACCTGCAGATACCTTTTGATGATACTAGGCATATGTTGCAGACACCATCTAAACAAAGTGGAATACCTAAAGCAAGCCACATAGCTGCCAATTTAATATTAATTTGCTGTTCATTTTTGCTAGAAATTTGAAGGCTCAATTTTATTGAATTTAAATTACTAATTCCTCAAGCATTCCTGATAGATTGCAGCTGTTTAGAATTAAAATATGCATATTGAGCCCAAGAGCCTTTAGCAAGAATGCTTGAGTTCACTTATTGCTAGCAACAGAGGAAATTTTATGTGATCTGTTGAGGTGATGTTTACCCTGTGCTGAACTTAATCTCTGTTGACAACCACTATATCACATTAGCAGTAGCTGATCCCTTATAGTCATAAGTACTATATTTTTATCTAATTCAGTATTCTTTTAATAACAGCAGCTGCTTGCGTTTTGAGTAGCTCACAAACGGCATGAAGGCAATTCTCCCTCCTTGGTGGTTTCTCCCCAGATATTTAGAGGTGCATTGCATTGCAACAGGGTGGTTCCATTTAGCTTCCATTTTTAAGAGTCATTGTCCTATCTTCATGAATTTAAACCTTTCTAAAGCCCTCACCACATCTTTTGATAGTGAATTTAACACATGATGTCCCACTATGCTGAAGTTAGCAGGTCTGAGCCTAATCAGTGTTCGGATGTGCACTGCCTTGAGTTATATAATGGAATAAAGGTGGGGAGTGGAGAAAAAAAGGCAGAAGGGTCTTTTCCTGGCTAGAAATTCACCACATGTCATGCAATCAATAGTTGCCATTATCTTAATATATGGCCATATGAATTTGCCCTTGTTGCATGTACCGTTTTGGCCCAAATATGTCACACCTGAATATAAGCTGCACCTTTAAAAGTCAAGGGGGGGGGGAGGAGAGACAATACCCGAAAATAAGCCGCTCCCTTAAAATTCCGCAGGCACTCACACCTGTTCCATTTTACTCTGTCTGTTTCAGCAGTGATAGCGTAAAAGCCCATTTTTGTAAGGTCGCAAATTTAAGCCGCACTTAAGAATTATCTAATCAGAATTTGGGGAAAAAAGTGAGGCTTATATTCAGGGCAATACGGTAACGGTTGGTTTTTTCCAACTTTGGCTCTATCGTGGTACATATACCAGGAGTGGTAAGATTGATCTAACTGATTTGCATAGCTGCAATTTAACAATGTTAAATGTGCATGCATCCATTGAAATAAGTCAGCCTAATCATTTGTGCTCCCATGTGAATAGCAAGCTGAAACCATTCTTTCACAACTTAAAACCTGTGAAAAGGGATTGTAGTGCCTGTCAGTCAAGCATGAAGAGAGGGTTTGCATAATACAGGGTAAAGAAGAAATTCCATCTCTCTGTGGGGCCCTTTGTGGAGTCACTTTAGTGGAGGTTGGGCCACCCATGTCAGAGTGATGGTCCAATTTTGCAGCTAACACAGCAGTTGTGATAGAATTTAACTTCATTGTGATTAAAAAATAGAAATAAAACTTTCACACCTACTTGCTCTCTCAGTGCGAGCAGAATAACTTAGGAGGTTTTGACAGTAAGCTATTGTCTGCAAGTGTGGCATGACATAGGAAAATATAAATTAATGTGAATGGCTATTAGCTATTAACATTGGTACATTTAGGGGCAACATTGGGTGGAAATGAAAGCTGCCTGGTGAACTCAGTGGTAGGCCATGGGAGAAGCCCATCTGTACCCGGATATCTCCACGTTGGAGGCAGTTTTCAAGGGCCAAGTGGGAACTTTGAAAAACGGCTGTTAGTAGGCACATGCACATAATTAAGTAAATAAGTAAGTAAATATACCACACCCTCCCCGGCCAAGACCAGGCTCAGGGCGGCTAACATCAAATATCAAATACATTAAAACAAATGATTAAAATACAGCTTAAAAATTAGAATCAGGATAAAATTAAATGACTGCCCAAGAATCACAACCATAGGGGTCAGCTATCCATGTTTGTCCCACATGAGCCAATAAAAGGGCTAAAGAGGTAACTTACAGGGTCCCATAGAGGGGGGTCAAACGGCCCGGACCGAAGGCCAGGCGGAACAGCTCCATCTTGCAGGCCCCGTGGAAGGATGTCGAGTCCTGCAAGGCCCTGGTCTCCTGTGATAGAGCCATAAATATACATTAATCAGGTGGTGGGAAGAATAAACAGAATCTTGTGCTGATAAATCAAACTTCTGTGCAGGATAGATTATGTAACTTCTTAAACAATTAGTTTTGCATGCTTCCTTCCCCACTTTCCTCTACTTTGGATTCTTGTGGCTCATGTCTTGTCATAGATTATAGGAAGTGGAGTGGAGAAATGGAAAAATTGCAGCGAGTAGCATGCTAGGGACAGAGGATGTAGAATTCCTTACAGCCCTTCCCAGGATTTCTGTATCGTGCATGTTCATGATGCATGGTACAAATCTGTTTCTTCTGGCAACACATCTGATTTTTGCCACCTCCAAGAAAGGCAACCTATTTTTATTCATCTTGTCATTGATTATCATCTAGACAGACTTCCAACTGCCCTTCCCCGAGCCCCCATCTTTCTGTAATATCTTCAGATTCCTTGTTTCACTGGGTGGTATTCCATGTTTCTGCATGTAGTGATGACTCCTCCCAAATGAAGATACTGCACTATGTAGGGTAGTTTCTGGTAGGTAGCTGTGTTGGTCTGACGTAGTCGAAATAAAAAAATTAAAAAATTGTCCAGTAGCACCTTAGAGACCAACTTAGTTTGTTCTGGCTATAAGCTTTCATCAGAACAAACTTAGTTGGTCCTTAAGGTGCTACTGGACAATTTTTTAATCTTTTTATGTAGGGTAGTTTTTGGCTTCCAGGGGTTGTATGTTGTCATATCAAAGCTGCAGCCTAAAAAGTTTGAATTCAGGTTGGTAAAGGCTGACAACTGGTTCAGTATGCTTCTGGATTCAGGTCAGTTCCAGTCCATATAGGGAAGTGTACGATTCATACTTCAAGTTAGTGTGAACCACTACAAGGTTGGAACAAGTTGCCTTTTCCCCAGACCCACCCTCTTCTTCTGATCATAAATTTTTAAAACTGATTTGTATCATTGCTTTTGCACAGTTGTAACCTTCCCTTGGTATTCATGGTAAAGGGCAAATAAGAAATTAATAACAATTTATCTAATTTTGTAACTCATAAGCTCCATGAAGAATGTATGAAATAAAAATAGCATTCAGTATTAACAGTTGTACTAAATTCCAGTAAATTATACCCTTAACCCTTGAAATGGCAGGCCTTCTGCCTTTTACTTCTCAGACTCTTATAAGGAACTAATGTAGAAACCAAATCAATCCCAATCAAGGTACAGTCGTACCTTGGAAGTTGAACGGAATCCATTCCGGAGGTCTGTTCAACTTCCAAAATGTTCTGAAACCAAAGCACGACTTCTTATTGGTTGCAGGTAGGTCCTGCAGCCAATCGGAAGCCGCGGAAACCCCATTGGACGTTCCGGTGCCAAAGAACGTTCGCAAACCAGAACACTCACCAGTTTGCGGCATTCAGGAGCCAAAATGTCTGAATACCAAGGTGTTCGGGATCCAAGGTACAACTGTATGGAATTGTAGAGTTGGAAAGGACCCACAGGGTGATCTGGTCCAAATGTAAAACAAAAAAAAAATGTAAAATGTACATATGAGTAGGAATAAAGGCACTTTTTCAGGTTGAAGCTAGTGAGTATACTACCGCACACGAACCCTTTAGTCTGGTGACAAATTAATCTTTATGGTTCATAGAATTATAGAGTTGCATGGAAAACAAATTTCATCTGTTCCAACCCCCTGCAAGATTCTTTTGTCCAATGTGAGGAAGGGAACCTATGCCCTTTTAAAATGTGGGATGGGAGGGGAGTTATTGGGTTGCACTGATTACAGTGGTACCTCGGTTTTCGAACATCTCTGTTGACGAACATTTCGGTTTTCGAATGCTGTAAACCTGGAATTAAATGCTTCAGTTGTAGAACATGCCTCGGAAGTTGAACACGCCATGCAACTTCCACTGAGTGCAAGATCCTGAGACCTAGCTGTCGGCTATTGAGGTTTCGGTTTTTGAATGTTTGGAACAGTCTTCCAGAATGGAGTACTTTCGAAAACCGAGGGACCACTGTATATATTTTGTGGTTTTATATTTTGATTTTGTTCTGTGAACCGCCCTGAGACCTCTGGGTATAGGGCGATATATAAATTCAAATAATAATAACCCACAACTCTGAGATTAAGAGTCTCCTGCTCTGTTGACTGAGCTATCAGGGAGATCTAGCCAAATAATGATTCAGGCTTTCTTCTGGCACAGGTTTTTGGTTCATTTTAGCTCCCCACATATACTTTGCCACATATACTTTCCCTGTGAAGGGAATAAGCTCATCTTTTTATAGTATAAGGCAAGTAAGGTTGCATTTGTATGTATACTATGTTTTAGGTAGATTATGCCTTGCCACTGATTATTGCGCAGTTGTAGCCTTAGCCTCTATTCTCTCCCCCTTCTGAGTCACTTAGCTATGGAAGGCTTTCAGTTGTATCCAGTACAGTTCTAAGTAACCATCCTGACAGCACAAGGATTTCTTTTTGTGCAGCCAGATTTCTCCTACTTGCCTTCCCCACCCCCTCCCTAAATCTGTTTTAGGGGTTCGCCCAGTCCTCCAGAGCAGATTTGTGAAGAGCGTGGCAGGAGGGAGGAAGTTCTGCTCAAGCAGAAGCCCTTGTGCTGATGGGACACTGGATTGCAAGCCTCGGAGGTCATGGGAAGTGGAGGCCGAGAAGAATACCTAGACTTTCTCTCCACAAGTACACCAGTGGCTGCTTACCCAGTCACGGGGTGGGCTGTAGTTGTAGCCTGTTGTGGCTATCCCTCTCGCCCCCTTGTGGGCAAAAGGCCTTGTGGATTGCCCTATAGCCTACCATCCACAAATTTGAACTGCCCTCTTGGGCAAGTTGGGGGGTGGACCAGAGTGGGGAAGTCTTCAGTCCGCTGCTACAACACTGCCTCCTTTGGAGGGCAGGTGCTCAAAGTGACTGCAGTCAGTCTGCCATGCTCCACCAGGGGCACTCTGGAATGGGGCTGATGACCCTTAAGCCAAAAAGCCGAGTGCTGTCTATGGAGCATGATATGATGGCAGTTTCATAGCATCATAGAATTGTAGAGTTGGAACAGACCCCAAGGGTAATCTAGTGCAGCCCCCTGCAATGCAGAAATCTCAATACATAGTCCCCCGTCCAGTTTGAAACCATTCTGGACCCTGCTTAGTTTTGCAAATGTGATAATAGTTTTATTGTGCTACTAGGAGGTTTATCCTGCTTGTTTTTTCTCTAGAGCCCCAGATGATAAGACATGGCATAAACCTGAGCACATAATAAGCCCCCTGCTGGATTAGTCCAAAGGTCCATGTAGTGTAGCAGTCTGTGCTCACAGTGGATTACTATATTCCTGTTGGAATCCCATAAGCAGGATATGAGTGCCCTAGCCCTCTGTGATCTCCAGCCATTTTGCCTCTAATACTGAACATTTTACATAACCATCATGAGTTGTAGCTACCGATATGCAAAGTCATGGAGAATAAGGCTAATTCTCTTCAAAGCTGACCCAAGTTGGTGATTATTTTGTGAATCCTAGCATGGAGGCAGTTGCATACATGCCATGTCCTCATGGGCAGCATTGAAGGGCTACTGACCCTAAAGCAGAGGGGGGAGCATGTGTGCCCTGGATGTAGAACTGCCATAGCATTGCATTTGTTTGTTACCCATGTGCTCATCCAGGGGTTGTCAATACTTCTCGCTTTCTGTGATAGACAAGTTGCATGCTTGGTTTGCTCTTCTCCATAAGCACCTCAGGGTATAATAGTAGATACAGCTCACTAGTAAATTCCTAGCTGGCAGTTCTGTACAAGGGATTAATGCACGGATACCCAAATTTCTGGCTCTGAGATAGACATATATGTAAGTTCTTTCTAAATATAGCAAAGAATTATTATTATTTTAAATGACCAGAGAATCAAAGCTGATAGAATGTTGCTAGAATAAATTTCTTCTCAAAAGACCAAGTAGCCCATTGCATATTATTTATCTTTTAAGTATTTTTAGGTGTTGACCGCAATCCTATTTTTGACTAATGCCATTTTCCCCAACATTTTCCACTCTGGCCCTTAAAATGTATAAGAAAGCAGTGGCCCTTCAGATGCTGTTGAACTCTGTCATCATTCCCTGACCAAGCTGACTGGGGCTGCTGGGAATGCAACAACATCTGGAGTGACACACGTTGACCACTCCTGCTTTAAAAATACAAAGCAAATACATTTTTGTCACAAAGCAAATACATTACAATCTCAGTAAATTGTACATGCTGAGTGTTCGAGATTTATGAATGGTGGGTGGTTTGTGGCCTCCTTACAGGTGGCCTGAGAGACCCCCACAAGGATAGACTGTTGAAGGCTCTTTCTAGAGTAAATAAAATTTAAAATCCACCTCTGGACTCTGGTGTAACTATTAAAATGTGTCAGGGTGAAGAGAAAAAGGAAGCATTGTCAGGTAAGGGATAGGAGTTCCTGGATTTCCATTTCTATGGGCTATCAGTCAATTCAGTACTATAACAAAATTGCAAATTGTAGCTGTTCTTGGTAGGCAACTTTTGGTTTTGATCATGACTGTTCTGCTTTCTTCCCTGAAGGCTGTTGCATCCTGAGCCTTTCCTCCATGTGGTTTCTTAGCAACAACAGTTTGGTATACTAGCACAAGCTCCCCCTCATGCCATGCTTTCTTCAGCTATTGGCCTTCCCTTTACTAGGCCACCCCACCTGTACTTATGGAATCATGACCTCTTCCCAACAGCAGGATCAAAAAATGTACCCTGCACATGGCAACCACTCAGATCCATTCCCTGCCACCTGTCCTTGAAGCCACATGTGGTGGGTTGGTAGAGCCTAGCAAGAGCTGCATTGTTGTTGAGCACCTTGCTGATCTCAGAGGTTGCCAGAATTGCATTTATACCCACCACTTCTAGATTTGTAGGAATGATTATTCTACCCTGTCTATTCAAGCCCAGCTGAGTCAAAGAGCCAGCAGTCTTTCAAGCTGCCTCATGTAGTCAGTGGAGGTCTTCTGAGAACAAACCAGAATAGTAAACTTCATTGCAGCAAAATGTAAGAAGTGTTGGTTTGAACACCAAAATATGGCTTCAGAAGCCGGATTCTTTTAATGCAGTGTCTTTCAATACTTTTATCCTGTTCCAGTTTGTCTGTTGTTGCCTCAGGGCTGCTTGAAGCTTTTAGAAGTGTGTGTGAGGGGGTGATCTTCATTAGTTGTCATTAAAATACTAGGTGAGAGCCAATGTAATTTAGCTCTTTGAGTTGATTTCTAAAGCTTTCAAAATATTTTAGATTGGTCTGTAAAAGAAGGCTTTCCTGATGTTAGACTCCCAACTCTCATTAGTTTCAGCTAGCATAACCAATGGCCAAAGATGGTGGCAATTGGACCACAGCAACATCTGCACTGCCACAGCCCCACTCTAAAAGTATTTAAAATATGTACTGTACGGCCTCCTCTTTGCTACCAAAAAGGCATCCCACAGTGGGTTTCAACCATAAAGCATTAAAAACAAGCATAGTAAAAGCAAATTAGAAACATCAGTGAAATTTCATCACATCCAACTGAGTGGACAGCAAATCGCCCAGAGGCCTGAGTAAATAAATAGGTCTTTAGCTGGCACAGAAAACTAAAAACTTAGCACCGGCCTTCTAGGAAGGGGGTTGCACAGTTGGGGTGCTTGCACTGGGGGTGCCCTCTTCCATGTCACTGCATACTGAATTTTGGGCACCACCAGAGGGATATCCTCTACAGATCTTTAAAGCACAAGCAGGACTATATGGGATGCAGGTTCTCTGCCAGGTTTCTATGTCCTAAGATGTTTAGCTGTTTTAATGTCAATACAAGCACTTTGAAGCCGATTCAGTAGCAGCGGTAGCCAGTGCAGTTTCTAGCAGGCTGCCATGTTCTGCACCATGTAGAGTACATTGCAGTTGTCCAGACTTAGGGTTGTTAGTGCATGGGATGAACTATCCCCATCCAGGAGCAGTAACAGTTGCTGCGCTAACTGAAGCTAGTGTAAGGTGGTTCTCACCAAGGAAGCTACTTGTGCCTCCCATAAAATGCTGAATCCAGGTGGACCCACCAAGCTATGTTCCTGTTCTATGAGAGGGAGGGTGGCCCAGTTCTGAACCGGCAATATTCCCAATTTCCAAACCTGGGAATGCTCACTTACAGTGCTTATCAGGATTCAGCCAGAGCTTATAGGCTTTCATCCAACTCACCACTGTGTTGAACCACTGACCAGAACCCAGACAGTGTCTCCTGACTAATGAAACTGAAGGAGCTGTATTGACATGTTCCAGCACCTTGCCAGAGGAGCTGAATCAGAGTGGAGAGGCATAATTTTTGTGCCCCCTTCTGGGCCTTCACCCTTAGCAGGGAGTCAGCCTGTCCAACCCCTAGGTATGCCCCTGCATCAGCATCTTGGTGACATCTCACTCCAGATCTAATGAGCACTCCTAGTAGCTTCAAATAGATATTAAACAGCACTGTGGACAGAATGGGACCAGGCACCTGCAGCATAACTGCCATAGAGCTGAGGTACAGTCTCCCAATTCTATTTTCTGGAAAATGGCCCTGCAGGTTGAAATGGAACCACCACAAAACCAGCAATGTCACTCTTTTCAACCTTCCTAATAAAGGACTTCCATCAGGACAATCAGAGCTGATCTGGTTCCCAACCTGGAATGAATCCAGATAATTGGTTCCATCCAAAAGCATTAAGAGCTACCACCCTCTAGAGCAGCGGTTCTCAACCTTTGGGTCCCCAGATGTTGGACTACAACTCCCATCATCCCTGAGCTCTGGCCTTTCTAGCTAGGGGTGATGGGAGTTGTAGTTCAACAACATCTAGGGACCCACAGGTTGAGAAAGGCTGCTCTAGAGCACTTACCCTTAAAAAGGAATTCTTGCAACCAAGCGATGGTTGTCAAACACTTCTGGGTTCTACTTGGGTTTCTTGGGGAGCAGGCAAACTATAGCCTCCATGAGGACTGCAGGCACCCTCCCCTCTTGCACAGATGTATTCACCACACATTGGAATCGCCTGGTTAATCCCCTCCGGCTGGATCTAAACAGGACAAAGGGTGAGAGGATGTGGTTGGCTGAACAGCCTCTAGCATCTTATGCACAGCCATTTTTCATTTGTTATGTTTATGTCCCACCCTTTCTCCAAGGAGCTCAAGAAGATGTACATGGTTCTCCCTCTCCCTGTTTTATCCTCATAGTGACCTGTGAGGTAGGTTAGGCTGAGAGACAGTGATTGTCCCAAAGTCACCCAGTGAGTTTCATAGCTAAATGGAGATTCGAACTTGGGTCTCCTGGGTACAATATTCTAGGTACTACACCACATTGGCTCACACTGTTGTTCTTTGTGACCTATTAGTGATTATACAAGTTAACCAAACCATCAGTTAATCATTGTACACAAAGGTCCCGATACAGCTCTAGCCGTGCATAAAAACATATTGATTTGCAACTAGTTTTCCCAGAACGTACATGAGGATGTGCATTCAAATGCTCAACACATGGAATGATGCATTGTGGACGGACACTGGATGAGCATTTGGATCAACATCCAGTTTTCACCTGTGATTTTTGACCAAATGAGTGAGAAGTTGGTGAAAGCAAAAACTGGAGGGTACTGTGTTATGTCATAGAATAGTTTCTCTTCCTGCTGTTATCTCTGCAGTTTGAATTTGTTTACTCTTCTCCACTCGCAGCTCTGGCTTTGGGGCAATGACAGCTCCTAAAGCCATAGCTAAGAAGGACTGTGAGTTCACATACAGCACTAAACTACGGTCAAAGTTCTCTAGTGTTTAAAAAACCAACTACGAATGTGGTTAATGAGCAACCTTTAACCATAGTTATTAAACCATAGTTAAATTGCTGGGCTGGGTTTGCACATAGCACTAAGCTATGGTTTAATAAATCATGGATTAGCATTATGTGTGAACCATGCCACTTTGCGGGGCTGCCTTTGAACTGTGTTCAGAAGCTTCAACTGGGAATAAAATGTAGCTGTAAGAGTTTCAAACAGAACCTGTTGTAGCAACAGATAAATGTCTACTGGCTTCATGTTTGCTTCTGGAACCAATTCAAAGTGCTGATATTATCCTTTAATGCTCTATATGACACAGACTAGGATATTTAAAGGACCCCTTCCACACGTACACAGTTGCTCTTTCTTTGGTCTGCACAAATGCACATGCTACTGATCATGCCTTTAGAGACTAACTGGGTGGGTACTGAGGACTGACCTTTTCTATTGTCACAGCCAGATTATTGAACTCTCCTTCAGGCTGTCCACCTGACACACACCCCATGTCCACTTCTGTTTTCCTCTGGTTTCGTTTGTAACTTCTCTGCTGATATAAATTCTGCTAGGATTACAATTATTTTGTACTGTATTTCTTTGCTTCATATGCATTTTTCACTGCTTTTGTATTCAGAGAAAAGTGGGCTTATGAATACCAATTGTTGGGCATTGTGAGTAGAGGAGTAATATTATGCTCCTGTCTTTCTTGTGGGCTTCCCTTACTCATTGTTAGCTCCTGGAAGAACAGGGTGCTGAAGTAGATAGGCCTTCTGATCCAGCAGGGTTCTTCTTAATTTTTTTTAATAGAAATTGATGCTCCTTAGATTAGGATAGCACTTAAACACATTCTACTTAAGGTAAATATTGGAGAGCAAAAAATTGCTGGGTTGGACCAGTAAATGAAAAAGGGACATTTGTTCCTATACAGTCATACCTCGGGTTGAATGTCCTTCAGGTTGAGCGTTTTCAAGTTACGCTCTGTGGCGACCCAGAAGTAACAGAGTGCGTTACTTCTGGGTTTCGCCGCATGTGCAGACGCTCAAAATGATGTCACACGGAAGCGGCAAAACACGACGCGCAGTCGCGTCTTACGTTCTACTCGGGATGTGAACGGGGCTCCAGAACGGATCCCATTCGCATCCAGAGGTACCACTGTACAGTGATACAAATTTATTCTAAGCATTATGTACTGTGAAATATCCATGTGATCTGCCAGCCACAGATGTCAGGACATAAATGGAGTGAGAGAATATACTAATGATTTTTTTCAATGGCAAGTAGCATGGCTTTATTTGGAAGCCTAGTTAAATAGTTGGCTAGTTGTAAGCCAAGTATTGTCTAAAGGGCTTCTCAATTGAAACACCATCCAACAAAGCAGAAAGACAGTTGGATTATTGCAGAGTTTGTATAAATAAAAAGATGCAGCACATAGTGTGCAGTCTATAACCCAGCTATCGCAGAGACGATTCCTTGTTATATAGAATTGTCCTGGAGGAAATAGCTTCCAGACTGAAATGTAATATGAGACTAATTCATAAGGCATTAAGTTGGATTCTGATTACTTTTGCATTCCTCTTGTTAGTAGATATTTGGCAGAACAATAACATAACAATAAACATAACACTGTCCATCATAAAGTCCTTCCAGATCATCCCAACCTGTGCAGATCGTGGACACCGTTGAAATAATTCTAAGCTTAATGCAGTATGTTTTCTAAAAAAATGATTTGAATAAAATGTCATATTTAGGGGAGAGGCCATAGCTCTGTGGAAAAGTACATGCTTTGTATGGAGAAGGACGGTGGGGTTCTTACCATTTCCAGTTAAAAGGCTCTTGTGTCACAAGACTGGGAAAGACCTCTGCTTGAAGCCATGGAGAGCTGCCATAGACATCATTGCTTCAGTTGTTTCAGTCAATATAAGGCAGTGTCCTATATCCATGTCAGTTTTCAAAATAGACAAAATCAGTACTGACCACTTATATCCTCTTTCTTTAAAATGAAAAGAACATTGGAGCAGCTTAGGTGGAGATCCAAGTGGTATCCAGTCCAGGCACTGAGTAGGCCCATGCCTGCTTCATATCAGTAATGTTTCAGCATGACATAGTCCCAAATTACAAAATAAATTCCAGTTTGCTAATTTGGAATTCCACATGGTAAATCTGCTTTTGAATTTACTGTCACTCCTGCTTACTTCACTCACCAATCCCACCTACTGGTCCACCCCATTGCCACCTTCCTTCTCCCCAAACCTGACCATATGCTCCTTCCTTTACACCTGACTAATCCCTGCTCTCTTACACCTCACCCACCCCCTTGCCTATCCCCTCACAGTTCACCCAATCCTTCCACACTCACCTGGGCCACCTACCACCCATTCTGCTCACTTGCTCACCTGCCTCCTCTTCAGTTATGACGCTGCAGTTGCCGTGGCTGCCTGTTGGCTATGAACTACAGCATGGCAGCCTTACAATTTTATTATATAGCAAGAAAATTGTGACACTTGCTGTGCTACTTATTCTACTTAAACCTATTTATTTCACTAATTTTCAAAATATAAGCATAAAAAGATAAGTTGGAAGGTGAAGGGCCTAAAGGTTCCTGCCCCTTTAAAAGTTGCACAGAAGTGAGGATATGCTGGCAGAGGCAAGGACAAGTGACACGTATATTCAGGCCTGCATCAGGCTCCACATACGTATAAATCTGCTATGAAGGATGTAAAGAAAATCCATGCCCAAAAGCTATACCTTGTTATTTCAAGGTCTGCGCCAGAAATAGCCAGCGTGGTGCCGTTCATATATTTGTGGATGGCAGCTCCCATCAGCTTCAGCCAGAATTGTCAATGCTGGAGAATCTTTATCAGATCTTGAATTGTGCCATTGGGGAATACGACAGATTCATTTCCAGGAGAGGAAATTGCAGATTGTCTTTCTGTCAGCTCTCCACTAACACAAGATGGTGATTTATAGTAGCCAGACATTGGTTATTAAATCACTCTGGAAATAAGAGTGGTCAAGGGAACAACCTCAAATGCTCTGATCAAAGCCGTTTTCTTCTGTCTGCACCTGGGAGCTGAGTTGTTAATAACATCAATAACATCAAAAGTATCCAGTATGGCACAGGTACTTTTGGATCTCCCATTGACTGTTGGTATTGTTCGACAGTTGATGGCTGAACAATTTAAAATGATCAGATAAATATTAGATGAAAGGGGGGGGACAAAAAATGAATCATAGAGATAAATGAAAAATGGAACGAGCTTACCTAGAGATTTCAGACTAAATTGATGAAAAGCTGACAGGACTGGATGATGAATCAGCAAAATTGGAGAAAGCAGATGGTGACATGAAAATGCCTCTTATACATGGGTTTGGAGGAGAAGAGAAAGGTAAAATCATAAATGGAGAGATGGAGAATCATCTGGATTTGGTATTGATGGAATTGAGTGGAAAAAAGCTTTGAGAAAGCTTCAGTCCTGGCTTCTCTTCAGTTCTAGAAGAAAGTATTCTGCATACTATTTGGAGCAAATTCAGAGAACGATGCTATAAATTTATGCTACTATCTCTGGAAAAGACTGGAAGAAACAGAAGTGTAAAGCCCTGGAGGAGCAGATCAGGATAAATGCAGTAGGAAATGGAAACACAACAAGAGATGAAATTTGAATATAGAGAACTGGGCATGAATTAAAGGATATATAACAAGAATTATGGAATATGATTCCAATATGTGATTGCAGTGGAGAGATTTTAATATGGGCATGGAAGGAAGAATTTACTATTAATGAATATGGAGGCATGGTGGTGAGAATTATGGAGAGAAAGTGGATTTTAAAGAAAAGACATGGTTGATATTTACCGCCACTAGTAATAATAATTCAGGAACCCCTCTTGGACTTTTGTGGGGAAAAGAAATGAAATGTTTTTGAGAGACTTCAACTGAAAAGAAACATTATTTAACAGAAAGTAGAGAAGACTGATTTTATCTTGGACTGAATGTCTTCTTTTTTTTATGCAGCTGGCAGATAGAAAATTGGAAGTCCTTTTATTTTCATTTTTCAACTTGCTTCTTTCTCCTGCCCTTTTCTCCCTCCCTTTGTATCACTTCTTCATTTTCTTCTCTTTTCTTTGGCATCCTCTGCTCTGGGCCTTCATTAATGTCCAGGGATTGTATAGCCAAGCATGTGGTAGATGGTTAAAGGAAGTCCCTGGGTAAAGGGAAATGTTGGTCTCCCAGGGTGAGAGGCTGGAAGGAGAAAGGAAAGATCCCAGATGCGAGCTACTACCTTCTGTGGCTGTTAAGGGTCAAGAACTCCCTTTAAGAAAGGACTCTGTATTCCGAGTGAGCTCTCCGTGCCCTCACCACAGCAAAAAGACTGATACTGATGAATTGGAAAAATAAAAATGCGGCTCCCTTCTACGATTGGATTGAAGACTTCTACAAACTCACAACATATGAACAATTTGCATGTAAACGCAGACTTGCCATGGAAAAATTCAATGAAATTTAGAATCCATTCTTACAAATACTGTAATAGGTCACAATCTGGTGAAGTACAATAACAACCTTGTAAAGTATACAGTTTTGGGTTTTCCCCTTCCCCGCTTTATTTTCCCTTCTACACGGGTTGTGTTTCTCTTTTTCTTTCTCTTTTATTTACGTCTCACAATGTTTAGTGCACATGTAATTATGTACTTTTTGAACTTTCAATTAAATAAAAAGAGAGGACTGTATTCGACTTAGTCTAGTTGTATTTTTTGTCGTGTCTTTTTTTTTTGTTTGTTTGTTTCTTAGATTAGGCTTTTATATCTTATAGTATTATGAAAAACTTTTTTTAAATTCTTATATTTCACCCCTCCCCCAAAAAGAAATAGACAGCTTCACCTATCCCTACTTCTCAAAGAGTTGGTGTGTATTTTAATCCAATTTCTAAGCTTTTACAAAGCATTTTTATATGCAGATCATTTTTTTAAATTATTAAAAGCCACATAGAGGCAACACTCCACCTTTTTACAGGTCCTGTTGTTTGTCGTTAGCTTTCTTGATGAGCAGAAAGTCAGAAAGTGGTATTTTTCTCTCACTTGTGCTATGCAGTTTCACTTGCTTAATTTCTGCATGCTAAAGACACAAGTACAGGGCTAGCAAAGAAACCCATTGCCTCCGTAATTGCTGACTTTTCATATAATGCAGTGGTGGCCAAACTTGGCCCTCCAGCTGTTTTGGGACTACAATTCCCATCATCCCTGACCACTGGTACTGTTAGCTAGGGATGATGGGAGTTGTAGTCCCAAAACAGCTGGAGGGCCAAGTTTGGCCACCACTGATATAATGCAAGACCAGTCTAGAAAATCATTGTGAGAGCATAAAAATCCACCCTATCCTGGAAAAAATGTTGCTTTTTTTGCATGAGGAAAAGACAGTCTGTACTTGAGGACAGAATGTGAACAACTAAGAGAAGCCCTGCAAGGTTTGACAGGCAGCCTATATGAGTCTGCACACTGGCCGTGAAGTAGTTAAGAGGGGGAAATTGCGTTTTGAGAACCGTTTGAGAACAAGTAGTGAATGGGATAAGTGTGGAAGGGAGTCTCTAAAGTTCTTCTTGTCTTTCAGGAATACAAGCGCAAGTTAGCCAGAGTCTCTCAGGTACGGAAAGAACTCAAGTCACGGATCCAGACCCTTCCTGACCTTTCACGACTCCCCAATGTCACAGGAAGTCAGGTGCATCTTCCATTTGCAGGAGATGTCTATAATGATGATTGACATTCAGATGTTCCCCTGGAATGAGGAATTGGGCAGATGGATTGATATTATTTTTGTATATTTGTTGAGAGTAGCACTTCAGTGTTTTAATTTATAAGAAATGTCAAATGTTGCTTTGTTTACTATGTTACTGAAACTGTGGTGAAGCAGGTACTATCTAAGAGGCAGAATCTCTGTGTTATTATGTTTAAAAGAAAGAGTGATTATTACAATTTAACTTTTGTACTCACTTTGATTAGATCCAGGAGAACATTGTTTCTATTTTGCTTTTTCTTATGTGATCTTTATTGGATATAGGTCTAATAATTTAAACTAATCATATAAGACTCTGCACATAGTAAGTGAAGAAATGCAAAAATAGGTCTTTTGACTCCTGCAATTTGGGTTGAAATGTGACAGTAATTTTTTTTCTTCTCCAAAAAGTCATTGTCTTAATGTCCTTTTAAAAACTTTTGAATACAAATTATATTAAAAACAGATGTTGAATGACCAAAAATGACCGTAGTTAAGTGAATTAGAATGCTAAATGATTTAGAATTTTAATAGTAATCACTCCTCCTCTCTGAAGGTTGATTTTTTTTATATAGTCAGCAACCATATGTTTGCATTGTAATCATTTTCTACATAAATCCAAATAGAAAAACCTCATCTTAGAGGACAGGCCAGTGAGTGTAATCCTCATCTGGAAGGAATTGGAATGGTTATATAGGACTGAATCTATACTTTTTTACAATTAACTGTGCTTAGCGGTAAAAAAAAATGTTTAGAAGTTCAATCCTATAGCTGTCTACTCAGAAGTAAATCCCACTGTATTCAGTGGCTTAATCTAGATTAAGTGTGCAAATGATTGCAGCACAAGAACATTATTCTGTAGTGTGCTTTATTCATTACCTGGAGCTCTGAGCATCTTTTCTCTAATGGGGAACTCATCTGATGAAGTCAGCTTGGAAGGTTACTGCCATGTTAATTGCAGAAAAGCTCCAACAAATCACTCCCAAGCCCGGAGTGTTAACATGGGGAAAGTTTATTCCTGACTACTCAGGATGAGGAAGTTCACACTGATATATGGCCACTGCCTTTCAGCATATTTACCTATTTGCTTGCACATACAGCTCTCCATTTTGTCTATGGGCAGTGGAGTCTAAAAATGGGGTGGTTCTTACCATCTGGGGCCAGTGTGCACATTTGCTGCAGATGCTAGTCACAAAATTGCAGTGCATGGTTTAGGAAATTGGTTGTGGGCATGCCCCCCATAAGCAGGAAAAAGACATCTACTGTTTGTTTCATTCTTGTTCAATGATGCTCTCAAAAATTACTTTAATACATTAAGGATGTTTTCCAGTTAATTTGACCCGCCTTAAAAAGGTAAAGGTAAAGGGACCCCTGAGCATTAGGTCCAGTCGTGACCGACTCTGGGGTTGCGGTGCTCATCTCGCTTTACTGGCCGAGGGAGCCCGGTGGACAGCTTCCGGGTCATGTGGCCAGCATGACTAAGCCGCTTCTGGCAAACCAGAGCAGTGCACGGAAACGCCATTTACCTTCCCGCTGGAGCGGTACCTATTTATCTACTTGCACTTTGACGTGCTTTCGAACTGCTAGGGTGTCAGGAGCAGGGACCGAGCAACGGGAGCTCACCCCATCGCGGGGATTCGAACTGCCGACCTTCTGATCAGCAAGTCCTAGGCTCTGTGGTTTAACCCACAGCACCACCCGCATCCCTATTTGACCCGCCTTACACCACCAAATTAGGTCAAAGTTGCAAAACTTAAAGCCCCAAATTGGACATTATGTATGTTTGGCAATTTATTTTACACATTTAATGTACATTTCCACTGTCACTTATTTGTTACCAGCGGTCAGCATGGCTGATCATATTCTAGGGTCATTGGCAATCTGAAAAGGCTACCTCATTTATTCACCCTGGGTGGTGAATTCATCCCACCCCTCAAAGACATAGATTTTATGTTGCAATGTCAGATACAGAAGTGATTAGCAAGTATGAGCATTCCTTTCTATGACTATATTACAATTTAAATATAGGAAGTGGCCTTAAGTGACACCGCCCTGCTACCTGGCAAACATTTAACTCTTAATCGTCACCTCTAAAATTAGAACAGTGAAGTTATTCACATTTCCACCACTGAAAAAATGTTGAATGCTAGTGGCAGATAAAACAAATTATTTCACAGGAAAAATGCTATTTTGAATATAGCTACTTAAATATGTGAAAATATAATACCTCTTTCTGGGAAACTCAAAACAGTTTAATGCAGCTTGCTGCTGCTGCTTCTGTCTTATTGTAGCAGTTTTGGATTATACTTAAAAAGCATTTCATTGTCAGTTTTGAATGCTAAACTGAGGTGCATCCACTTCTGTTACCTATATCATGTGCTGTTTGCAAAGTTTGATCCAGCAGAGGTAAGCACATCTAAGACCGATTAATTTGAACGGAAAAGGAATTATATGCTTAAATTTCAGCCAGAGAAATTAGTGGGGAATAAAATTGCTCAACTTTTGCATCTTGCTGTAATATTTATGGAAGATAACTGCAAACTATAAGGGGGAAAAACACTTTGCTTGTATTTTGAACAGCTTGTGCCTGATAGTTTGAAGTTTTATTGTATTATAGTCCTAAAATACTGACAGACACATGTCAGAATGCAGCAAGATGAAAGGTGGTTGGTAATCTCAGTTTATGTTTCACATTTAAAAAATGAGGGGAAGGAGAGGGATTTCATGGAGTTGAAAATTCTCTATGCTGTTAGGACTTTTCATGGTTCAGACGCACTGTAATATTTCTGCTTTTCTAATCCATTCCATTCCAGACATCAGGAGGTTATAATATCCAGATTTAACAGAGCATATAATTATAATTTCTTTTTCTCCAAAAGACACAGGAAAATTCCACTCATACCACGCAGAATTGCATAAGTTTAAAATATAAACCTCAATTTGTTTTGCATCTGCTTTTTTGCATGCAATGTTTAGCCACAGATTAGTGTTACGTATATGAGCCTTTGGCTAATGCACTCCCACCCCTTAATTGGAATAAGCCAATTTGTGACTAGTAATGATGCCTGCTGGTTTCACTAAACCATAGCAAACCGCAGTTTTTCTAGAACTTCTGCCTTGTTCTTTTAGAATGGCAATAGTGTCCATCTGAGAGGTGCTGGAGCTGAGCTCCTGTGAGCTCCGGTTGAAGAAAAGCCCTGGTAGACAGTAAACCACAGTTCCATGTTTGAACATAACAAAAAGATACATTTGAAAATGGAAGTGAAAGCTACCAATTTTCCGTTCCCTCCATGAGCATTGCTTTGATGAGGAGGGGAGAGCAGAGTCTGAGGCTTTTGCACTTAATTCTAACATACAGTGGTACCTCTGGTTACGTACTTACCGTAATTCGTTCCAGAGGTCCGTATTTAACCTGAAACTGTTCTTAACCTGAAGCACCACTTTAACTAATGGGGCCTCCTGCTGCCGCCGCGCCGCCGGAGCACAATTTCTGTTCTCATCCTGAATCAAAGTTCTTAACCTGAAGCACTATTTCTGGGTTAGCGGAGTCTGTAACCTGAAGCGTATGTAACCCGAGGTACCACTGTATAGTTTAGTGTTATGCCACTGAGCCTTGCTGAAACACTTAGTTGTAGAATTCATTTTTCTGCATGTAAATATTTTTCTTTAAATACGTGCACCCTTCTTTTACCAAAATATAGAAATTAATAAGTTCTTTGGAAAATTTTACTCTACTCTTGGCAGGTAGCTTTCAGGCAAATGTTTACATTTCAGCTTAGTTTTGCCAACTTGAACCTTGTTTTATTAGGAGCCATTGATCCTAGTCACATGCCATGGAAGTACATAAAACACAGCTCACTGTGAATAAATATTATGCTTGTGTATGCTGCTGAATCACTCCTGTTTTACTCTCCACTCTTAGGAGCACCAAAACACTAACCCTAGTTTACTTACTATGACATGTGTACTCAAGACATGTGTGCTCATAGGTTTGTTTCTTCTAAACAAAAAACGACAAGTAAGCCAAGAACAAGCCTTGAGGTCCAGGTTTCAGTAATTTGCTGCCTTACCAAAATTTGAGTTGTTGAAAACACATCCTCAACACGGAATATTTAGGCCAAACATTCATTACACTGAGCACACACCCAGAATTAGAAACAAATCATGTTTATATTTGCAACCCCTTACTACAGTGGTACCTCGGGTTACATACACTTCAGGTTACATTCACTTCAGGTTACAGACTCCGCTAACCCAGAAATAGTGCTTCAGGTTAAGAACTTTGCTTCAGGATGAGAACAGAAATCGTGCTCCGGTGGCACGGTGGCAGCAGGAGGCCCCATTAGCTAAAGTGGTGCTTCAGGTTAAGAACAGTTTCATATTAAGTACGGACCTCCGGAACTAATTAAGTACTTAACCCGAGGTACCACTGTACTGTGTCCAATATAATTTACTTAAAATGAACAGGAATCACCACTAAATCAAATACTGCTGGTACAAGCATTTCCACTTTTAAAACTTGGTTAATATTTTCATTATACAGTGGTACCTCGGGTTAAGTACTTAATTCATTCCGGAGGTCCGTTCTTAACCTGAAACTGTTCTTAACCTGAAGCACCACTTTAGCTAATGGGGCCTCCTGCTGCTGCTGCCGCACCGCCGGAGCACAATTTCTGTTCTCATCCTGAAGCAAAGTTCTTAACCTGAAGCACTATTTCTGGGTTAGCGGAGTCTGTAAACTGAAGCATATGTAACCTGAAGCGTATGTAACCTGAGGTACCACTGTATTACAACTTCACACACCTCACTATTTTCCTTTGTGTGTTGTGGGGAACTCATTTATAAATAAGCAGTGGCTGAAACAAATTTTCCCACCTATTTGGAAGTCAGTAATTACAAATGGAACCCTGCAACTAAATGTTACCATGTTGAAAGTTCAGGCTTTCAGCTACTCCATTCCACCTTATTCCATCCACCAGCCCCAGTCCTTTCCTACTGCCTTCAACAGTCAGTACAGAGCATGGTAAGTCCTTTCCCCACCCCATTATTTAAGGGATTTTTGAGATAGAGTGGACCCACTTGTGCCTGGTCCCACCTACACTGAATTCTTTCATTTTCATTGATCTCTCTGCGGAGCACTCTTTCCACGCCTGGGCACATTTAAGTGACCTGTCCAGACAACAGCACACAATTTATCTACGTTTCTCTGTCTTTCATTAAAAACTTCCCTGAACTAAGCCTTCAGATGGTTTGTAACAGTCAAATAGTAGTTAGTATCTGTTTGACATTTGATGGGAAGGTGTTCCACAGGGTGGGCGCCACTACCAAGAAGGCCCTCTACCTGGGTCCCTGTAGCTTCACATCTCGCAATGAGGGAACCACCAGAAGGCCTTCGGAAGTGGACCTCAGTGTCCGGGCTGAACAATGGGGGTGGAGACGCTCTTTCAGGTATATAGGCCAAGGCCGTTTAGGGTTTTAAAGGCCAGCACCAACACTTTGAATTGTGCTCGGAAACTTATTGGGAGCTAGTGTAGATTCTTTAGGACTGGTGTTATATGGTCCTGGCGACTGCCATCAGTCACCAGTCTAGCTGCTGTATTCTTGATTAGTTGTAGTTTCCAAGTCACCTTCAAAGGTAGCCCCACATACAGCGCATTGCAGGAGTCCAAGCGGGAGATAACCAGAGCATGTACTACCCTGGTGAGACAATGCACAAGCAGGTAGGGTTTCAGCCTGCGTACCAGATGGAGCTGGTAGACAGTCGTTCTGGATGCAGAACTAATCTGTGGACAGCTGTGATGCAGAACTAATCTGTGGACAGCCTCCGTGGACAGCTGTGATTCCAAAATGACCCCCAAGCTGCGCCCCTGGTCTTTTAGGGCAGGCATAGCCAAAGTTGGCCCTCCAGCTGTTTTGGGGACTACAACTCCCATCATACCTAGATAACAGGACCAGTGGTCAGGGATGATGGGAACTGTAGTCCCAAAACAGCTGGAGGGCCAAGTTTGGCCATGCCTGCTTTAGGGGCACAGTTACCCCATTCAGGACCAGGGAGTCCCCCACACCTTCCTGCCCCCTGTCTCTCAGAAACAATACTTCTAACTTGATGGAACCATTCCATTCTATTCCCCCTCTCGCCTTTTTGCCAGGGTTTTATTTTATCCTTTCTCAATATTCTGTGTCATGGTTATTACGGGACTGTTTGCAGGGTCTCTCTCCTCCCCTCCTGCACTTCCTACTTGTGTGTACCTCAGGATTACTGTGAGTCTGCTGGAACTTCTCGTTGCATTGGTGGTAAGCACAAGAAGACACTCAATGTTTCTTCTTAATGTATAGGTGCTTATATGATGCTTCCACAGTTTTATATTTGAAAACTTAATACATGTTCTAACGCATGTAACATGGTTGCATTAGTTTTTGTTTAGGCCTCTTGGTTCCTAAAATTAGGATCACAAGTTACTCCTACAAAGTTGAATTCACTCTTATATTTGGAGCAAACCTGCTTTAAACAAGGACTAAGGCTTTCATCGTTCAGTCACTGATTCCCAGTGGAGAAGAAATTACACACATGCTGAAGACCATCTTTTACAGTTGGTGACTGACAAGTGTAGTTCATGACACTGGCCCACTATACCACTCAATTGAGTCAATCCAAATATGTATAATAGTAATCCGTTACCAATTATCCGAGCTGTTTAAACCATCACAATAAGTCTGTCTTGGCTATCTTACTAGTTGCAAGTCTAGATCTTTGGACGAGATCTAAAGAGCTGTTTAAACTCATGCCGTGGGTTTGCAGTAGCCCAGTTAGTTTGATTTCCCCACTTTGAGTAACTGATCCCTATGCCGTACGAATAAATCTGCTTCCAAGACTTCCCTCAGTTTCAAAAACAGTTTGCTGTGTGGTGGTGGAAGGGGAGTTAGTGCTCTGCAAAAAAGAAAAGTCTAAAGGTATTTTTGGCTCACCGAACTGGTTTCACAGTTCTTTGAAGCCTAGCCTGTCTTCATTTTTTGTTCATTATGAACATTATAGTGGACATGTGTTTATGTGAATATTACGAACTATTAGCACTTTTAACTTGTGTGCAACAATTCAGCTGTTATATGTTAAGCATAATTCGTTATTGAACATTGTTGACTGAATTTGTAAATTCCATCTACTAAGAGCACATGTTTTCATATTGAAAATAAAGATTAAACACGCTATTTGTACTGTTTCATTCTGTGCTACAGTCCATGTGATTTCAAGCCCCACCCCCAACATACACTTAAGAGTTTTAAACCCAGACCCTTAATATATTTTGAGTTGCTTATTATACTTTTTAAATAAAGTATACGGTGGGTTAACATTTTCAGAATGCTAGGGAAAAAAATATTATGAAAAGGAGGTGGCTTAAAAAGTTTTGCATCTCAAAGAATGCCATGCCCACCAACTTGAAGGAAATGAATTTGCGAAACTCCTCCCCTGGAAGAAGAGGAGTTGGCCTGCTGGGCAACTTCACCCAATGCGTAGCGGTGGTGACAGGCTATTTAAGCTTGCTCTGCTCCACAATCTTCCTTCTTTATTCGGCCCCCACTCTTTTGCAGTATGTGCCTACAGGCTAGTCACCTGTTTTCCAGAGTCTGAGTAGGATTTTTTTGGGAAACCCTAATTGACTGGGGTCTTCCTTTTTTTTCACCTACTCCATACTGTTGGGTGATGTTTTTTGGAGTGGTGTTCCTTCAATTTGGCTAATTGGCATGTGGGCCGAACAGGTGAGAAGATGTCAGAAATAATGGAACATTTACCTGAAGCAGTGTTGGGTTGTGGGCATCCCTTAGTCACTGTTGTCAGGCATGGCCTGTGGGTTCAATCTGGGGGTGCCCTTTGACCTGACAGACACAATGGGGCCATGGTATCCTGACAGAAACAATGGGGCCATGGTAACCGGACAGACACATGGTGTGCCTGTTGGACTTTCATACCCAAGGTCCACGCAGCAGAGAGGGAGGATCTTGGGAAACCTTGCTGTGTGTATCCAGAATGCAGCTGTTAACCTGCTCAGGTGATGGGGGTAGAAATTACCTTCATCCACTAATGAACACTTGCCTGGACCTAAGTTGATTTGGTTACATTGGTTGAATCCAGCTACCGTATTTTTTGCTCTATAAGACTCACTTTTTCCCTCCTAAAAAGTAAGGGGAAATGTGTGTGCATCTTATGGAGCAAATGCAGGCTGCGCAGCTAACCCAGAAGCCAGAACAGCAAGAGGGTTCACTGCGCAGCGATCCCTCTTGTTCTGGCTTCTGAGATTCAGAATTTTTTTTTTCTTGTTTTCCTCCTCCAAAAACTAGGTGCGTCTTATGGTCTGGTGCGTCTTATAGAGCGAAGGTGCGTCTTATGGTCTGGTGCGTCTTATGGAGCGAAAAATGTGGTAGTTGATTGGTTTTGCAGATCCTCAAGTTGTAATATTTAAGAAATATAACCTATTTGTCCACATTTGGTTGTCCTGACCGCCTTCCTGGTGTGCTGGCAAATGCCCTGTTTCGTACATTTAGTCAGGAGAGAGGCGCTGAAATAAAAAGCAGAGGAGTCCCAGACTCTCCATGGCTTTCACCAAAAGCCACATGTTTACAAGTGAGCAATTATGTGAGTATTTGGTTTGCATCTATTTACCCACCAGTGTTCTTTTCCTTTGTTTGATATTTTTTGGGACAGACTATTGATAAGGTAAAGGTAAAGGGACCCTTGGCCGTTAAGTCCAGTTGTGGATGACTCTGGGTTTGCGGCGCTCGTCTCGCTTTATTGGCCGAGGGAGCCGGTGTACAGCTTCTGGGTCATGTGGCCAGCATGACTAAGCCGCTTCTGGCAAACCAGAGCAGCACACAGAAACGCCGTTTACCTTCCCGCCAGATTTATCTACAGTGGTGCCTCGCAAGACGAAATTAATTCGTTCTGTGAGTTTCTTCGTCTTGCGAAGCACGGATGCACCCTGGTACTGTATTATAATGGGATAGCGGGCAAAGCACAAAGCGGGTCGCTCCCCAGCAGGAGGAGTTTCCCCAGCCTGGAGGATCTGTTGCCAGGAAGAGGCAAAGACACCCCCTCCCACCTCCCCACGAAAACAGCCCCCCTTCCTCTGTCGCCAAGCCTTGCCGCGTCTTCGCTCCGCCAAACCGCGTCCCACATCAAAGCCCCAGCCCGCTCCTCTCCCTCTCTCTCCACGAGGTGCCAAAGGAAGTTCGAGCCCAGGAACCGAGGGCGGACGCACGAAGCGCCTGGCGCGGACTCTCCCTTGCTCCCCCCGTTACCTTGCGCCACACCACCGGGCTCCCCACAGTCTCGGCAGCTGCTCCCAGCTTCTTCCCACCCCCGCAAAGGCGCCTTCGCGACGGCCCAAGCGCAGTGGATGCCTCCTCCTCCTCCTCCTTGGTCCCCCTCCTCCTGCCTTCGCGCAGTTAGGGCAAAATGGAGCAGCCACGTGGGGAGGGGGGGAGAGAGAGGCAGAGGCGGCGCAGAGACCCAGCCAGATCCGCTGGATCCCAGCCCACCTGCCTCCTCTGTGCCCTCTCCAGAAGAGGATCCCTCTGCGTCGTTCTGCTAGATCCCGCTTCTGTTGCGCCCAAGTCCGTTATTTGTTCTTTGGCTCCTTCTGCAGTCTTTCTTTCGTGCGCTTTTACGCACGCGCTCTGTCTCCGGAGTCTCTCTCTCTCTCGTATCGGGTTACTCTGCTCGGACCTCAGGACTAATTGTCGTGCTCGCGATCGCGCTTGGAAGAGATTTGCTCCCGCTCTTTTCTTGCCTTGCGTTCATTCGCGGAGCGAGACGCTCTCCTTCCCCAAGGCTGAAACTGGGAAAGGTAGGTCGCTCCCTCGCTCGCTCCCTGCCAGCCCAGTTCCCGCTTCAAACTTGGTACAGTATTAACGGTTTTAAGAAAAAGGAAACAAACTCGCAAGACGTTTCGTCTTGGGAAGCAAGCCCATAGGGAAATTCGTTTTGCGAAGCAACTCAAAAAATGAAAAACTCTTTCGTCTAGCGAGTTTTTCGTCTTACGAGGCATTCGTCTTGCGAGGTACCACTGTACTTGCACTTTGAGGTGCTTTCAAACTGCTAGGTTGGCAGGAGCAGGGACCGAGGAACGGGAGCTCACCCCATCGCAGGGATTCGAACCACCGACCTGATCAGCAAGCCCTAGGCTCTGTGGTTTAACTCACAGTGCCACCCGCATCCCTTCCAGACTATTGATACTGTCCTTTAATTAGACACACTTATGGTACACCAATTCTTTAATGATAGTCAAAGTGACAAGAAGTGGTTTTTGTGTGTGTGTGTGTGTGTGTGTGTGTGTAGCTTCAGGGCTAAGCAACCTTTTCAAATGAGTGTAGTTGAAGTTGGCACTTGGAGGTGGAAATCAGTGTTAATACTTCAGATGCGGAAGTTCTGAGATGGAAGATTGCATACAAGAGGAACTATGATTATAGATAAATGCTGTGAAATTTATAAGCCATATTAAGTGCTGAAACAATCCAGATAAAAAGCACCTTGCATATTTTAAAGAAAACACATCTCTCTATGCACATACTCTCATGTCTGAAGACTTTCTTGTTCCCAACAGGATTTTGGGAACTGGCTGATTTAATGAAAGGGCTGAGTCCGGTGCTGTTTTTATTGCAATTATTTGTATGGTTTTAATGTAGATAGATATAAAATTCTATCCATGTTCAATTGTCGTTGTCTTGCCCCCCCCCCAATGTTTTAACTGTTCTTATTTTTAGCTGTAAGCCGTCTTGAGTTCCTGCCAGGGAAAAAGGTGGGGTATAAATAAACCACGTATTATTATTATTATTGAAATAATAATAATAAAAAAATTATCCAGTAGCACCTTCTAGACCAGGTATGTCCAAAGTCCGTTTCGGGGGCTTAATGTGACCCACCGGTTGGTTTAATCCGGCCCCTGTGGCAGTTTATTTCCTGGGGTAAATTCCTAAAATCCAATAGAAAGCTCAACAACTTTGGTTGGCCCTCACTTCATCAAATCTGGCCCTCTTTGAAAAAAGTGTCGACACCCCTGTTACAAACCAACTAAATTTGTTCTGGCATAAGCAGAAGTGGGCATGCACACGAAAGATTATACCAGAACAAACTTAGTTGGTCTATAAGGTGCTACTGGACAATTTTTAATTTTTTTAAAAAAATTATTTCAACTGCGTCAGACCAACACGGCTACCTACCTATTATTATTATTATTATTATTATTATTATTATTATTATTAAAAGCCATACCAGTAAGTAGCCTGGCTGCAGCATTCTGGACTTTCTGAAGTTTCCAAACCCTTTTCAAAGGCAGCCCCACACAGAGCACATTGCTATTTGCAAGATTTCAGCTCTGCTCAGTCATATGTGGGTGGCGGCGTTATTTTTAAACTTACAAGAATGACTTTGTCTCTAACCCAATAAAAGCTCGCTGCAAATGTGTAACCTCACAGCAATTTACTAAAAAAAAAATTGCCATACCTTTCCCCACATAGACAATTAATGTGCCGGAAAATCAAATGCACGTGTGATGCCACTATGGAAGATACACCTGGAGGAGGCCAGGATTTCATGCATCGTCCCAGGCAACTGTTGCCAAGGAGACAGGAATGTTGTGCAGGGAGGCAGGTAGCAGCTAACCTGTAGGGAGGCAGGGCAGTTAGGCAGGAGAAGAAGAGAGATGAGGTATCCAACGGGAAGAGAAATAAGTGTTGCTAAGATCCTATGGAGAGTATTCACTGAGAAGAAGCTGTGATCAGATGTTGGAATCTGACGTTGGTCCAACTAGGTAGTGTTAGATCCGGGAATTAGGGATGGGGGGGGTGACTTTAGACTGCAATGTGTCTTCTTCTATTACTATTATTATACTTCACCTTTTCCCTTGACAGGGACTCAAGGTGGCCTATAGATAAAAATAACAACAGCTGAAATCACAGGGAAATAACAATTAAAAAACCATTAAACATTGAGTGGATTAAAACTACACACACACACACATCTAGTAAAGGTAAAGGGACCGCTGACCATTAGGTCCAGTCGTGGCCGACTCTGGGGTTGCGGCGCTCATCTTGCTTTATTGGCCAAGGGAGCCGGCGTACAGCTTCCGGGTCATGTGGCCAGCATGACTAAGCCACTTCTGGCGAACCAGAGCAGTGCACGGAAACGGCGTTTACCTTCCCGCCAGAGCGGTACCTATTTATCTACTTGCACTTTGCTGTGCTTTCGAACTGCTAGGCTGGCAGGAGCTGGGACAGAGGAACAGGAGCTCACCCCGTTGCGGGGATTTGAACCGCCGACCTTCTGATTGGCAAGTCCTAGGCTCTGTGGTTTAACCCACAGCACCACCGCAAAACTATACAAATACAATAAAAACAGTCCAGCGCACAGTGAAGCACACGACTAGATTTCTGTTCTCCTTCCTGCTCTCTTCCCCACCACTCTGTTTTTTGTTTCTGTGTCCGTGTTACGTACGTCAGAGCAACAGGCAGCAAAGAACGGTGTGCCAACCCCGATTAGAAGCAAAGGAAATGCTCTCGAACACGTGCCGCTTCACATTTTAATCTCACTTGAACCTTAGCACCTTCGTGACTACAGGAATAAAATAAGAGCTTGCTTCTTCTGCCCTGATACTAAATGCATCGACCTGCAAATAGAAGAAGAATGAGGAGTATATTTTCAAAGTGAAGGTAATAGCCATGCAGACATGCCAAGCTATTCAGCCAAAACCTCAAACTTGTGACACTTGTGGCACTAAGCGTACACCTTGCTGATCCTCTCCTACAGGTGAACAGAACATGGATTTCATATGGAGGGTTTGAACAGCTTGCAGTTCACCTTCATTCCCTTGTGTGCATTTTCTAGTATTTAGTCTTTGTGCCTTTAAGCTTAACGATCGTAAGTGTTGGGTGAAATATACAAAACAATTCACATTTCACGACGTCTGTTTTGACATTAGTCTTCTTAAGTGTATTTTATACTTCAGCAAAGTAGCTGTAAACATCATGAATGCTGAGGGTGGAGGGGGATGCCAAGGATCATTTGACAGCACATTTGGGAAGGAGGACGAGATAAAATAATAATAATAATAATTTGGATGGATGTGAACTGTAGGGAAGATACGGAGAAAAAGAGGGGAAAGTATTGCTTATATACATCTGCCAAGTCCACGCACTGAATATATAGCACTTTCTGATTGGTCAAAGCACTTCAGTTTAGTAAATTTGAGGTGGTTTTTTAATTATTATTTTTAAAAGGCTTGTTGTTTCATTTTTTCCTCAAAATGAGTGGGATTAGGAGTAACTTGAATCCATTGGTTTGAGTCGTACCCTCCGGAGTAGGGGTAAAACAAGCTTGCTCCCTCTTCCATGTGACAGCCCTTCAGCTATTTGAAGGTGGCTATCATATCTCCTCATTTGCAGGCTAAACATAACCAACTCCTTCAACCATTCCTCATAAGGCTTGGTTTCCAGACCCTTGATCGTCTTGGTCACCCTCCTCTGCACACATTCCAGGCTGTCAAAATCCTTCTTAAACTCTGGTGCCCAGAACTGGACACGGGATTCCAAGTGTGGTCTGATCAAGGCAAAATAGAGTTGTACTATTACTCCCCTTGGTCTGGACACTAGACTTCTGCTGATGCAGCTTAGTATAGCATTGCATTTTTGGCCTAGATCTGTTTCATCATCTGCCAATGTGGAAATATGTGTATTATGGGACTTCTTTATGTAGCACGCAACAGCTGTTTATATCTCAGCAATTAACATATTTACTAATCCTTATTTACCTTCCTTGCATGTTCTCTTTCAAAGTTAACGTGTTTCGAGAGGGGTAGCCCTATTTGCAAAAACTGCAAAGAACATTGAGACACCTTAAAGACAAGGGTTAATGAAGTTCATCACAAAGCCATCTATGCCTGCAAACCCAACCATGCCTACTCAGAAGTTACCCTCACTGGATTCAGTAGAGCTTACCTCCTGGTAAGTGGGGTTAGGATTGCAGCAGCTCTCACTAACTTGACTTCACAATTCAGTATAACAGACACCCCCAACCTTTGGCCCTCCAGATGTTTTGGACTACAATTCCCATCATCCCATCAATTTCCACTGGTCCTGTTAGCTAGGGATCATGGGAGTTGTAGGCCAAAACATCTGGAGGGCCGAAGGTTGGGGATGTTGCAGTATAACCTAGTCATCCTCTCTCATTTCCCTCACAGAGGAATCAATGAGGGACAGTTATGAAAATAACAATAACAGCAATACTAATTGGAAGCCACTCTGAGCTGCTTCCAACATAATAAAAACAGCAAAGCATCAACCATTAAAAACTTCAAAATACAGGGCTGCCTTCAGAAAGTTGTGTACTTGTTTATGTGTTTGACATCTGATGGGAAGGCATTCCACTGGGTGGGCACCACTACCAAGAAGGCCCTCTGCCTGGGTCCCTGTAGTCTCACATCTCGCAATGAGGGAATGGATAGAAGGCCCTCAGAGCTGGACCTGGGTCCAGGCTGGACGATGGAGGTGGAGATGCTCCTTCAGGACCGAGGTTGTTTAGGGCTTTAAAGGTCAGCACCACTGAATTGTGCTCAGAAACGTACTGGGATCCAAAGTAGGTCTTTTAGGACTGGTGTTATATGGTCCTGGTGGCCACTCCCAGTCACCAGTCTAGCTGCCGCATTCTGGATTAGCTGCAGTTTCCAAGTCACCTTCAAAAGTATCCCCCACGTAGAGTGCATTGCAGTAGTCCAAGCAGGAGATAACCAAAGCATGTACCACCCTGGCAGGACAGTCTGCTGGCAGGTAGGGTCTCAGCTGACATACTAGATGGAGCTGGTAAACAGCTGCCCTGGACACAGGATTGACCTGCACCTCCATGGACAGCTGTGAGTCCAAAATGACTCCCAGGCTGCGCACCTGGTCCTTCAGTGGCACAGTTATGCCATTCAGGAGTCCCACACACCTGCCTGCTCCCTGTCCCCCAGAAACAGCACTTCTATCTTGTCGGGATTCAACCTAAATCTGTTGACCTCCATTCATCCTCAAACCACCTCCACTCACTCACTCAAGACATTCACCGCCTTCACTGATTCTCATTTAAACAAGAGGTAGAGCTGAGTATCATCCACATATTGGTGAACACCCAGCCCAACCCTCCTGATAATTCACTGGGGAACAATTTTTTACTTTTTGAATGTTGTCTAGATTTCTACAACTGATTTAGGGTATTTTTGCACTGCTGAATCAGGAAATGGCATCCGTTTCTCTCCATCAGGTCAGGTTTACTGTAAACTGAATGGTGGGCATTGATAAAGGTAAGTACACGTAAATTGCATGTTGCTTCACCATTTTTCAAACTTCAGGGCTTGAACTTCCGTTTCTTGGAACTCCTGGAATGCTCAGCGGCAGGGAGGTCTCTCTTCAGAGTCCAACAGTAGTCAGCCATCATGACTGCGTCCCAGCGACCCTGATACCTGGTCTCCATCTCTTTCATGTCCTGATGGAATCTCTCCCCTGCTCGTCACTCATTGAACCCAGGTTCTCAGGAAACCGGTCCATATGTGAAAATAGGTAGTGCATCTTGACGCTCATGTTGCAGCCCAGGTTTCTGAAAGCAGTCAGCATGTTGTTGACAAGTTCTGCGTAGTTTCTGGCCTTATTGTTGCCAAGAAAGTTCTTCACTACCAGAACAAATGCCTTCCACGCTTCCAGTTCCACTTCATTCATTGAGTTTCCGAACTCTGGATCTCTGATGAGCTGACGGATCTGAGGACCGTCAAAGATGCCAGCTTTCAACTTCTCCATGGTCAATCCTGGAAAAGCCTGGCACAAGTAAGTGAAGCAGTCACCATCCTTGTCCAGAGCCTTGGTGAACTGCTTGATTAAGCTGAGCTTGATGTGCAGCGGTGGGAAGAGTATTCTGTCTCTGTCCACCAGAGGGTCGTTGATGACGTTCCTTTCTTTGCAAGGCACCAATTCCTCCCGCACAGGCCAGTCCTTCTTCGTGTAATGCTGAGCACGGTCCCTACTATCCCACATGCACAGAAAACATGGGTACTTGGTGAAGCCAGACTGTTGTCCCAACAAAAAGTTCACCATCTTCAGGTCAACACAAATAAACCACTTATGCTGATCATAACCAATTTTCTCCAGCACATACTTCACAGCTTCATAGTTCTCCTTCAGTGTACTCGAGTGAGCCAGGGGTATAGAGGCAAACTGGTTGCCGTTGTGTAGCAGAACACATTTCAGTGATCGCTTGCTGCTGTCAATGAACAGTCTCCAATCTTTGGGTTCGTACTGTGGCACTCCAAGCTTGAGCAGAAGCTGCGCAATATCTGCACAGTACACCAAGTCCTTCTCTTCCGAGAAAAAAAACGGAGGTACTCTTGATGCCTGTTGCGGAGGAAGCTGATGCGAGCACTGTCAGAGAGGAGGTTTTTTCCTTCAATCTGGATGCCAACAGTTCGGCAGAGTCCTTTGACAAGCTGAGGTCGTGAACTAGATCATTCAACTCCTTTTGGGAAAATGGATGTGGAGCATCATCTTCAAGAACCACTTCTTCTTCTTCATGTCCTTCAACACTGGAGGCATCTTCGTCACTAATGTCAGGAAGTTCTCCGAAGATAGGCACTGGAATTTCATCACAACGAGCTACAGGATGACGTGCTAATTGAAGATCAGGATACTTGAGGCTGCTGTTGATCCCACCAATTTATGGAGCTGCACCAATTTATGGAAGATTTCGAGGTTTTATGACTTCAAACTGATCCCTTTTCGACATAATCACCCAGAACTATCGGACCTGAATACTTCTTGTCATTAAAATAATCATTTCCAATCAAAACAATTATTCGACATGGCATTTTACCCCCACCAACTTCTTCTAAAATGCTCCACACAAGCGTACATGTGAACAAAAACGTAAAAAACCGACATGTGGTCATAGCTCAAAAACTTGACCTGATTGAGCAAAACCGTGATTTTTGGATTCAGCGCATCAGATTCGTCCTAAATCAACTGAAAAAACGCAGACAACAAATTTGTTGTTGACCAGTGAATCCCTCCCTGTGTCTTCATATACATGTTGAAAAGTATGGGGGAGAGGATGGAGCCCTGCGGCACCCCACAAGTGGGTGTCCCAAGAGTCCGGACAATCATCCTCCCCAAACTGGAAGTAAGTCTCACTGAATTCAGTGGGATTTACTTCTGAGTAGGCATACTTAGGTTTGCAATCTTGATGCATATAATATGCCTTTAGCTGCCCCCCCCCCCGATGTCAGAAATCAGAAGAGCAAAGAGGTACCTAGATACTGTGGCAGTCCCTCTCTCAGTCAAAGGCAAATACCTTGTGTTATTGACTTCCCTGTGTGTTCTCTTTCAAAGTAAAAAAAAGTAGTTAAAGGCCGATCAATTAGCTATCTCCCCACAGGGTTCTAAACCCCTTTTCATCTTTATAACAACATCAAAGAAACATGAAAAAAGACATTAATTACGCATAATCTGCAGACTTAAATTAAAATGCTGTGGACAGATGTGGATGGCATTCACTTCAAGGAATCCCATCCCTGAACACTGAGTGAACATGCAAACACAGGGAATTTCTGTATCTGTGTCTGCTTAGAGCAGAATTCTCCAATATCCCTATTCCAGTATTATTTCCCCCAAAAATTGTTAGGTGTGGGACTGGAGAGGAGTCCGCCAGCCGCAGAAAGTTCAAACTGCAAGTATACCAAATACATCCTTCTCTGTTGTGGCATCACAATTTTTGGAATGATCTTCAAATAGTAGCCTGCTTGGCCTAGTGTTTTCTAGAGGTTGTTTTTTAAAAAATAAAAATAAAATAAAAAAGATTTATTTCACCTGCTGATGGAGGATCTGAAATTTCATGCTGATTGTTTCTGAATTTTATCCAGTAAAGCTGTTTTAAATTATTGTTTTCATACGGCTCTGTGTTGCACATCGCTTTGCGTATTCTTGAACAGAAAATGTATAAATAGCTTCAAGGCAAAAATGTCCCCTCCTCTTTGGAAGAACATATTTGATTAGCAGGCTTGTCTTACCATCTGTTTCTGTTGATCATTTTAGGCTTACTGTGGTTAGAAAGCAAACTGTAAATCAAACTGGTATTTTATCATCCAAGGTGGGGAAATAAAAACGAAACCCAGAAAAATTTGGTCCCTATGTATTTGCTCGTTATTGATTTTAGGCAGGACCAGGAACCAGAAAATAGAAGTGGATGGCTGCTATCAACATCTGTTGCATAGGTACCTTAACTTAAAGGCCAGTAGAGGGCAATAGAGATGTTCCATTTCAGATACATCTTAAGAAATTTGCAGTGATAATATGTTTACCAAAAAAGGGGGGGAAATCAGGATGAAAAAGAGGAGTAGGGAAGATAGCTTGTTCACTTTAGGAGTGAGGATCTGCCTTTGATAGACCACCGAGAGAAGCTAATAACCAGCAGAGAAAGGACCCTTCTCTTCAAAACGTGTACCTTCATTAGGACATTTGGCAAATGGTACAGAGAATGAAGTCCAAAGGAGGACTGAGAGATGCCAGGATGATTTGGTGGGAATGGAACCGAGGAAAGAGGATTTCAAAGAGCCTTCAGCTGACGGAGGTGAGAAGACAGATGCATTTGCTTTTGGGGGAGATCAAAGGCAGCCTGAACGGGGCTGACTGGGACTTACCTGTACGAAGCTGAGAGAGAGGGGTGGAGAATGTCCTCAGAGTGTTGCTTATGACAGAGCGGTCAGCTGTTTAGATGGTCTTCCCTCACTGTCTATGTTAAGAAATATGCCAGTGCTGTGAATGGTTTGGTGTTACCTGGACTGATACGTAGTTGGCACTTCAAAAGGCTGAGGATTTTGTGCCAGTTTTTGCAAGAAATCACAGGTTACTATGCTTTGAGAGGGCTCCTTTCTTTCAGCCGCAAACTTTGGA